AATACAAATACCTCTCACTGGAGGGTTTGAAATGTTTTTTAATTGCTATACATACGTGTATCGCCGAAATGTATTTGCGAAATATGAACAATTTTCCAACAATAATAAGATGAAATATTCAAATGCGCGGAAAAAAAAGGAGACTAAGAAGAAAACCCGAACACACGTTGCAAGCGCGGAACCAGTAAATATTTTGCAAGCACGAGCGCGATCCAGTTACATATCTTCGCCAATAAAGCTCCGACGCCCGACGGTTTATCGCGATCGTGTCGCCGCGCGAATAAATCCGCGACGACGCTCGTTACGAGAATAAATGCACGACGGTGCTCGTTAGGGCAAGTTTGGCGACAAACTTCCGCGTTACAATCTACTCGAGACGCGCATAACTCTTTCTCTCTCTCTCTCTCTCTCTCTCTCTCAATCTCTCACTCTCTCATCCACACTTTTTCTCTCTTCTTTTCTTTCCCCGTTTTCCCGCAGGGCAACGCCGAACGAATATTCAACGAACAATATCGCGCGAACCACCAGACTAAGATCCGCCGGACACCCAGTAAAGTCTGACCGTAGATGCGGTCTAACTACTTTCCCCACCGAGAAGGACAGCCACCGCCAGCGTCCCCGCGCTCTAACCGCCGTAAAAGCTCTCACGAGGCACGTAACGCTTTCGCCCCGAGTGTACACTCGGAACATGCATAACTCCCGTAAACATTCGCCAAATCCAACGGTCGTTTCTCATTTCCGCGATTACGACGACGGGCGAGAGCGAGGGAGAGAGAGAGAGAGAGATAGATCATGGACCCACGGGAAAAACTATGCGATCGTGAGTCTGTCGTGGGAAATTTATCTTCCAGGGGTTAAACGATCTGCCACCTTGTATCCGGTCGTGCGTGGAAAGTACAAAGAGGGCCCGCTTCGAGGGTTTGGAATATTCGTTTTCGGACCGAGTCTTGCAATTCAAGCGTACCGACGACGGCTTTCTCTTCCAGACTACAGTCTTCCCTGGAACGTGGACGATGGCAGAATACCACCGCGTGACTGGACTCAAGTCGGACCGAGGAAGCGAACGCACGACATTGCAACCGATCCTCGATCATCGCATCCTCCGGGGACGCCAGAGACCAGGTGATCGTTCTTCGGCAACTAGCAAAGTATATCAATTTATAGCGCCGTTTGAAGTCGCGGATACAGATCGCCGACGGCGAGATCGCGGCATCCCCGGGGAAATAATGGGGCAAATTACGAAAGGACTCATTTTCTTTCTCTCTCTCTCTCTCTCTCTTTCTTGGTCTACGTACCTCCATCTATTTACCTATCTACCTACCTATCGACTCCGTGCAACTTCTTACTCTCTCTCCCCCCGAGCGATCGGACGGAAGTTCGCGGCAAAACCCCGTCGAAACTCGCGGGAATACGTGTCCTGGTGGCACACGATATACCTCTATCCCGCGAATGTCTCGATCGATCACGAGGAGTATCGAGAATCCTGCCAGGAAATCCGCTGAGATAGCGACCGCAGGAGACACTCCGCAACTTTCCGAGAGCCATGCATCACGGCGGAAAAGATACTCGCCCGAGTTCGCTCGTAGAGCGCGCGTTTCTTATCGTTGACTACAGTGTGTACGTGTGTGTGCGTGCATCTCGTGTGTGCAACTGTACGCGCAACCGGAGTCCAAGAACCCCCTCGTCGGAGGGACTGAGCGCTCTCTCTCTCGCGAACGCACCCTCGATCGTCGCGATTTCGCGCTCGAGAGAGCTCTCACCCCCATGGCACGAACTTACGCGAAGGACTTCGTGGACGCAGACGGTTGTTGTGCTTCGCTGACAATGATCTCTCTATGTCCTCTCTTTCTCTCTCTCGTACCTGAGATCGGTCGATCGGTGGCGCAGGGCGCGGCGGCATGATCCCGTCGCAGCGCGGCGCCGTTCGACGAGCACTGAGCAGCTATTCTGCGCCAACCCAGTTGCGTCGACGTCGAAAAGACACGGACGTACTCTCTCTCTCTCTCTCTCCTCCGCCAACCCTTCCGTCTCTTGCTCGCCGCGTCGCGCCTTCTTTCTCGGATCGGCCGCCGGCGTACCTTCTCACTCTCACTCGCAACTCGCAGCCTCCCTCGGTCCTCCTCCCACTCGCGCGAGTGCTCTCCCACGCTCCCTCCCGATAACTGACGGCGCCGCCGCCACCCCCGCCCGATGTTGCTCCTCGTTTGAGCGCTCTGCGCAGGCTTCCGTCGAGCGCGAGATTGCTCTCTCTTGCTCTTCGAGAGCGGAGAAAGGTGGAAGAAGAGAGAGAAAAAGTGAGAGCGAGAAAGGGAAGGGAGAGGGAGAAGTCGAGAGAGAGAGAGAGAGAGAGAGAGAGAAAAGGAGAGAAGCGTCCGGCGGAAAGGGTAAAAACGGGATAGTTAAAGAGACTATCACACGTCGGGCCGGTGGACATCGAAGGGGATGCTGCACGCGAGAGGGATGAGAGAGAAAGAGGAGGTATTTTGTAAAATGCACCGCGCGCCCTGCTCCAACGCCGCTTGACAGCTCTCTCTCTCTCTCTCTGTCTCTATCTATCTATCTATCTATCTATCTATCTCTGTCTATCTATCGTTCTTTTCTCTTCCACTCCTCCGCCGCACAATATTATTCCGTCGGTGCAGAAACTTCTTGTCGCGGATGTCGTTAACCTCACGCCCGGTTGCCCGATCGCTTTTTCTCCCCGACGGCTCGCTTTTTGTCTCCACCCCGGAGTGTATTGCACCGCGGTTTAATAGCGGTCGGGTGTTGATTCAATTCGTAACGTTGCTCGGGGAGACGCGCGCCATTCTTCCGCGCGGTACACCGAACTTCTTTATCTGCGTTTTAATAACTCGGCGGCCGAGGAAAGGCAGACGGAGAAGGTCGAGGAGTAGTGAAGTAAGAATGCGTTATCATCATTACGGAGCGCATGAATGATGCACGCGAAGAGGCCGCTCCCAGCCGGGCGTCATCTATTTTCCGGCTGTGTAAAAAATGGTCTTGTCGGGAAGAAATACCTGATTAAAAAACGCTCTTCCACCGCGCGGTTCTCTCGTCGTTAACGTTAAGACTGGACATTCCTTTCGCCCCTCTCCCTGCGTACACAACGATCGAAATGAAAATTCTCTCGAAACAGAGAAAGAGAGAGAGAGGGAGAGAGAGGGGGTGGAAAGAGGGAAAAAGAAGGAGGTTGAGGAAGGATGAACGAGACACGGAGGATCGTGCGATCGAGAACTTCGCACCGCGAGAACTTGTTAATTATTTCGCCGACACGCTCGAGACTCGCTCAAGGTTCGCTAAGGGTTCGCTAAAGATCGCGGTGACTCGTTGTAACACATCACGACCCCGTGAACAGTCGAGAGACTCGCTCACGGATGCGAGTCTCGAACGCCGAAACGCCGAAGTCGATGTTGCGTTTACCACGGAGAAAGCAGAAACACGACTCGCGCGCGGGACCTTCCGGCGGCTGCTGGTTTCTCCCGCGAGATGATTTCCACGAAGTTTAGGAGTCACGTATCCGAAACACAGAACGCGGGGAACCGCGTCTGTGTTCACCGCTCGCTCTTCGTTATTTCTCGGCCAATAACGTTACGCACGCTCTCGCGACATGTAAATAGCTTTCAATCTTCATTGTCCGACGCGGACGTCGTATAATAGATAAATCGATACGACCGAGTAAGCCGTCGGAGGCATTCAAACGCCGCATATTATCAATCGAGACAGATCGTTGACAATAACGAATAGATAGTTCCGTGTATACAATGCATTTGATAATGAGAAGGACGCATTATAGGTACCGATGGCGTCGCTTTAGCATGCATTAGCATACACACGACCGGGACCGTGTTATCGCAGTGTTTACGTGCGATTTATAATCCATCTCTTTCATGGAGCCGATGTGACTTCATGCGAATATGACGTATTTCGATACGCAATTCTTTCTATCTCTCTCTCTTTCTCTCTCTCTCTATATATATATGTATGTTATTTCGCTTACACTCTAGAATACGCGTCGCCGCGCGCACTTCGCTCGCTCTCGATAAGGAAATCGCGAGCCGAGTCCGAGGGAATTTTTGTTTAAACTTTCCGCTATCTGCCGAGGGAAAGAGAGTATCACACTATCACGGCCGCGTTCACGTCATAAGAAAAGGTCACCGCTTAATTTTCGTTTAATCGCGGCGAAGAGAATCTCCGTCGAGACGGGATGATTTCCACCGATGACCGCAGAGTTCGCGTTTATTAGTATCAATCAGGACCGTCGAGTGGCTGGAAAGTATATACCGGCCCCTGCGCGCAACATTTGTTCGTTAAAGTCATTACTGCGAGTCCGTGAATAAATATAAGCCGAGAGAGAGAGAGAGAGAGGGAGAGAGAGAGAGAGAGAAATTTATTCGAGGATTACGTGTTATTACAAAAGAATGAGGTAGGATGGGTTCTATCGGAACTCGGACAGCGTTGTTGAGGTATTCCTACATCGTACATTTTACCTGCGCGTGGCTTTCATTCAGCTTGTAAGCCGCTTGTGACAAAGGATCATAGAGAGGATTATTTATAAGCTAAAAGTTGGAGCAAAAAGGATGGCTTCCGATTTATTCGCTTGTCAGCCTTTTCGCCGACGGACCTTTCCGCCGATGGATCCGTTTAATTGATAAATCACCATGTTCAACGCGAGAAAGGGTTTTTAGCGCGTTTATTGCAAGTAGCACATTCGTATCACATCTAATTTGCAAACACATGTCTCTAAATGGATCCAATCCTCTCTCTCTCTCTCTTGTCGTTGTTGAATATTATCAATCGTGCCACTGTCAGACCGCAATGACTCTTTTTAAAATAATTAAAAGCAATCTTTTTCTCTCTCCGCGCAAACTTCTTATTACATGATACAATTTTGTTGCTCGTATTGTTCCCACAGAGTTTAATCCAGATTTACTGTTACGTGAAGTGTCATTTATATTTTGCTGCACGCCGCCGTTATTGGTTCGCTCTCTCGGTAGGTAAGCCCTGAACGTATCGAAGAAAAGAGATGTACCTGTATATCTCGGAAGCATCCGAGTTGTTTCCGCGCTCGTTCATTTTTCCGCTTTTCATTGTTCCTCGCGAAAAAGAAAGGGAAAAAGAGATCCTTTTTTACGGACCGATATCGCGGTGTACATACCGCAAACAGGCGGAATTTGTTTACGAGCGATGGCGAAGATGCGATGACGTTAATCGCTACGTGACAAAGATTCAATATGCGTCGGTCGGAAAGCGTAAAAACTACTTGAACTTTGTGTGTATGTATGCGCGCGCGTATTATTCCACGAGCGACATGTAATCACATTTCACGTGATGTAATGACGCACGATCGATTATAAATCGCGACGGAAGGATCTTCGAAATCTCAGAGGGTGGGCTATGATCCGTGACACTTTACGTTTTAAGCGCGATGATTCCTTAATGTCTCCACGATGATCAGTGATACTTCACCGTGTCGTCGATTACCGGCGGATACGCCGATCTCAATCGAAACGATCGCGAGAGATGTTTACGCGCGTGAACAAATTCCAAATCGAAATTATCACTTAAAGGAAGAGAGCCTCCATAATTTGTTCAAACAATTTTCTATCACGGAGCCCTTTTCATGTCGCTTTAATATTACATGTCTCTGTACCATTACTCCTTTCTTAATATTCCGCTGTAAGACGGCAATTAACCCTACCTTTTCTCTCTCTCTCTCTCTCTCTCCCTCCCCCAAATGTATATATTTTTTTATTATTCTTCCCCGAATAATTTTCCAAGATCGGATTTTTCGCCGCTTTAGCTCCACTGCGCTCCGCCGTGCAACGTTCGATCGCTTATCGAGTCTAGATCGATCTCACTAACACTACGTGAACGTAGCATAGCGAAAGAATGACTCGGCCTGCGATATCAGTGAGCTAGTGTTTACGTGATTCGCAATCCTCGGGGTCGAAGTTCACCGACGCGAACGGATCCAGCGCGCGATGCCCGCGTATCGTCATATAGAGAGCACACGGTCGAGCAGGCGCGGCGATCTTGGACTTTGCGTAACCTCGGCAATTAAGAGCGGAAAAACTCTCGGAAAACGATAAGTTCGGATCCACACGCTGAGACGTGCGCGCGGAGACGTCACCGGTTCCCCTCCTCTTCCTTCATGCTCCTGCTCACCGTTCAGTTACCGATCACCGTGAGAGACCGACATCTCTCGCCCTGTCCCTCCTCCGTTCATTGGAAGGTTCGTCTCTAATCTAGAGGCGCGATAACGACGTCTCCCGATTCAATCGCGTATAAAGCAGCAGTGTGTCGTTGACCATCGCCGCGGTTGCTCGACGCCTCGGCGACGAGGTACGAAAATCGGTACCGCTCGCGTCCGTCGCGACTCGCGAGTTCCACCCTCGTCGGCTCCTCTCTCCTTCTGCACCCCGGTAATTGGGGGAAGTTACAACGGCCTGATTCAGAGCCAGACGCGGCATCACAATCCATTCCACGGAGCTATCCATAACCGCGAGATTAGCCGGTAAATCGAACGTGCCGTGGGGACGTAACCGTGACATCTCCGGCGTTTTCCACGTTATTGCCGCTCCAGGTAATCCATCTTGCCGTGCGGCCCATCCGGGAATCCGACAGGACTTTTCGCAGGAATAATCGATTCTCGCACCGAGTGCTCGATGATCGTCGTCGGCCGGTCGTAATCTCGGACCGTAAATCTTCGCGCACCGTCCAAGACGTGCCGATCGCCCGGAGGAACTAAAAGAGAGAGAAGGAGGGAGGAAGACAGAGAAACAGCTGACTAATCGTCGGCAAGCCCCGAAGAGGAAGGTGCCGCAGACTCCGCCATGTATTCGACGCTCCTGCTGACGAGGTTCGCCCGGCTCGGGTGTTACCCGCGCAAATTGGTCACGACGTCCGCGGGACTGCGCTTACAGCAGCAAACAGTACGTGCGCCAGCGGCATATTGTCGTTATCATGAATTATGTATGACTTCGAACTTATATGTCTCCTTATCGTCTCTCGAGGGGGACTCCGAAGGTAACAGCAACGTGACACGGCCGGCGTGTTCGCGAGCGCTGGTAAATCCAACAAGGCAACGCGACATTCCGCACGCTGTCCGTCGGCGAGCGTGTCGCGGTTTCACCGGGAGAGTTCCTCCCCGGTCGACGCGAAACACTCACGGTGACTTCCGTTTCGACGTTAATAAATCGAGGAGAGAGTACGCGACGACGACGACGCTTGTCTCTCCCGGCTGCGTCGACGCGCGGTGACGACGCGACAGATAGCCGTCCCGTCGGCGGAAACTTTCCGCCGGTGGAAGCACGGACTCTCTCGCTAACTCTCGCCCGTACTATAGGGCGCGGACGACGATGATGACGACAAAGCTCGCGCGAACTCGAAAAATAATTCCGATTTCGCCGAGGCACAGTTTACAGCGCGGCATCGATGCGCCTCACGTCGCGTCGACGACGTAAGTGGCTGTGATAACGTTTTGGTAGCGAAACTCAGCCGCGCGGAACGCGTATGCCGAATGATATCTGACGCTACAAAATGGTAAACTAATGGTAAAAGTATGAACAGCCGGATACGCAAACTTAAACTTAGACGCATTCTTATTGCTTATGTTTCGGTATTTAACTACGAATATCTAAACTTTCGAGCATACGTTCGTATATATTTAATATGTACATATATTTCATGTTGGGAGTTTAAATATTCGTCTTTAAAGACCGAAATAACAAGAATGTTATTTACGTACGTGTTATCGTATGCTCGATCGTTGGTACTTTTACCTTATTTTTTACTTTAATCTTACCGGTATACACGCCGCCTTTTTCGTATAATTAACGTCAATATTCAATATTTACAATAAATGCACGCGCGTACACGTTTCCCGGCGGTGAGAAATCGTCACCGAATAACGGCGGCAATATCGAGAAACGGGCGTGCTAAAATTGTAACGACCAGGAGAGGGATTCGTTCGATCGGTCGACATGCGCTCTTTATAAATTGATAAGTTCTCCCCTACGAGATAATAATTATCGAATTCGCGTGAAACACGCGTGATAGTCGAGCACGCGCGCCGTATTATCTCCGAATTGATTACAGGTGTATTATTCCGGAGGTCTTTGTGAGCCACGCGACGAGAAAAAATGATAATTTCATTAGTCATAAAGAAGAAAAGGAGACTAAGCAATACGGTAAAAAATTTTACGTTAAAAACTATTCATTGAAATTTATGTGTAATACAATTTTAAATTAACGTATTCATCTCGTGTTACATATTACTTTTTAACATATTCACTTTATTAAAGGAACGCCAAATTTCAGTGGACCGATTTAACACAAAATTTTCCTGTTACTTTAACATGGGGAATATATTAAAAATATAATGTTAAATTAATAAATATTTACGTCGTTAACATGTAACTTTCTAGCATGTTCAGCTTGTTGGAATGTGACCTAAAATTTCAGTATGTCGTTTTTACTACGAATACTATGAAAACAGAGATGGTTTTTTACTATGAATAATGCAAAGCGTGCGCAATAGAATAAGGCCGATACGTGAGGCAACACAGCATCGCGACTGTATAAATATAAGAATAATATGTTACAGTTAAAAATATAAACCGTATGATGTAACAACAATAAATATAAATATTCATCTCGGGGCTCGATTAACCGATCGAGAGCTCGCGAAACGACGCGAATTTCCGTGAAAAGCTCGCTCATGTCAATTTTCCCGCGGATGAAATTGCACACGTTGATGGGATGCAGCACGCGCGAGCTGCGCTCTTTCGCGTTGCCCGCGACACAGCGGGTCGGGGAGAGTGACGTGTAAAAATAGAGCGCATTTCTCTCGGTGCGGAGATAAGAGAGGATATTACGACGTAATTTACCACGACGCGATCGGTAATCAGCGTCCTTATCGCCGCGTTTAAACCCGCCTATGTATTATATCGTATGTTTGTTGTGTCGAGAAGACAGAGAACCTCGCCCGGAGTCGTCTCACTCGATTTAATCACGAATGATCGCGTCCCGTTTCTTCCGTATTAACCACATAGGCACGGTATTGTGTGTATATATGCGTGAAAGTCCGAAAGTGAAAGATATGCAGATACAGTGTATCAGCGTGTTCCTTCGGAATATTTACAAATATTATACGCGCCCCGTAATCATCGCATTCCGACTATTATCGCCGATACGAGTCTATGTAAACGTAGATAATCCGGGAAAGTCCGAGCGATATATATATTTCGCTGCGGTCAGCGCGAGTCGTGCGCCGGCGTGTCCCCGCGATGAAATTCGAAATAAATCTCGTATCTCGTAACTCGAAGAGCGGCGATACGCGATAAGAATCTCAAATATCTGAGGCGTGTCGTGCGGCTCCCCGTTTGCTTTCTGCGTCCGAGCGGAAACGAAATTTTCCAAGCAAGCTTCCACATTTAATTACCGCCGTTGTTATTGGCCGATATTCCCGCACGTTCCTCGCGTCAAGGCGGATCACGTGGCTGGCGACGAGTGGGGAGGAGGGAACGCGCCGCACAGGTGATCGGATATAAATTCCATCATGCAAAATAGGCTTTCAGGCGAGATTCTAGCAAAACCGATCTCATTACGTTAACGTGCGGAAACGCGTTTATTAGACGTTTTATTAAACCTCACGGCCGAATAGAATTAGCAGCGTCATCGAGCGCGAAGTGATAAGACGGCAGTGCGGACGATAATCTCATGCAGCGTTCTCGGGAAATACCATTCGCGCCGAACTTCACCTCGAGGCTCACGTGTCGAAGTCGTGAGAGAGGAGGAGGGGGGCAGGATAAATTAAAAGAGAACGTAATTTCATCTTCAGAAAGTCCGTTAACGTTGCCGCGTAAATACTTTGAGATAAATACGATCTGCATGAAGATGATGCAGACCGCGGCTATATCCGCGCGCGCGGTCTACCGCGTTTTAGCATAAATATCAATCTTCCACGGCTTCTTCTTCGTGCATCTTTGTGATAACTTGGTTACTTCTACCGCAAGAAATGCCACGTCGCCGGACTTCTCGAGAACGCCGGATCTCGCAGTTGCGCGAATGTAATAGAATGCCGCGACAAGCGTTGTAACGAAATAGAACTCACGGCTACACCGTCGGGCTTCATTTGGGCTCAATTTTAATTTCAAATTTCTTTTTTCAACTGCTCTCCAATATATAGTTTACTGGAAAAAAATACAAATAAATTTTCTCTTTTTCCGTTAAAAAAGTAAACATTTTCGAGAATAGTATAAAAATTATGAAATATATCAATCTTTAAATATCTTTAAAAAAGAATACATGTGTGTGTGGGTATGTGTTATTTTTTAAAGATTGATATATTTCAACAGAAAAAGAGAAATTTCACTTGTATTTCTTTCCAGTGGAACGAATTATTTTCCTCCTTTAAAGAGGATTGTAAGGTGAAATGAGTTTGACAAGAAAATTTCATGAAACTTTCATCACGTATACACGGAAAAAAAATTAGTCTTAAATCAATGATAGATATTCTTGCGTATATAAGCAGGAATGTTACGATCTTCTTAGAAGATTTTTAGTCTCGATTGAATTGGTATCGACGCAAGTATTACTTGGCATTCAATTCGAGATTAACACTCAAATGAATATATATTATTTAGGTAGTGAAATCAATGTGTGAGACCGTAACTTTGCTTGGTAAATATCAAATTTACAAGTGACCCCTTCGATATGCCATTGAAAATACGACGTTGAGCTTTATAACCTCCTTAATTTAGTTAATGCCACGAGATGGTATACCAAAGGTTAATAAATATCCGTCGTGCACGCGATAATGGACTAATGTACCCTCGACCGAAAGGGACTCACTTCACCCCGAGCTTCATCTCGCTCTCTCTCTCTCTCTCATTCTGTGGAAAAAGGAACGAATAAAGAAAAAACTTTTAAAGGGCAACCGCGTGGACCTGCGAAGAGAGCTGCAAACATCGGAGAGACCGCGACGACCGCAGACTTTCACGGAGCGTAGCGAACTGAAATACGCCCGCCGATTGGTCGTCAAGCTCGGTAGCGCCGTTATAACGAGGGAAGACGAGCACGGCCTGGCACTGGGACGTCTGGCCTCCATCGTGGAGCAGGTAGCTGAATGTCAGAACGAAGGACGCGAATGCATCATGGTGACCAGCGGTGCGGTCGCCTTTGGCAAGCAGAAGCTGACCCAGGAGCTCTTAATGTCTCTGTCGATGAGGGAAACCCTTAGCCCGGCGGATCACACACGGGAGCACGCGGGTACGTTCCGCGCTACGTCAGCTTGTTCAACGGTTCGCAACGTATTTTATGGAATATGACTCGGAATTTATATTATTTTCATTTAATATATAATTAAGTAAAATTATACATTTTAGTAATGATAACAGAGTAAGTAAATGTCAAGGCACAATACGAGGTCGGGTCACTCGAGAACCGCAGCGTTTGACACTTCGGGCCGATCCGACAGATCCGATTTCTAAGCTGCGGTGAACTTTGTACTCCGTTGTACGATGCGCCCTAGAACGCTCCCGGTTTCCCACGCGCTCGCGCCTAATCCCCTCATTAGTCGTCTCCCCCGCATTTCGGCAACTGTTGCGCCCGTTGTAACCGACGTCTAGGACCTCTCGGGGAATTATATCGTCTCGCGAACTCCCTTCGCATTCGCCTTATCTCGCATATTCACTGTCGACGAGCGCATTACACGGTCCGGATATCACCGGTTGCGCGCGACGTTGATAACTCACCGCGGATATCTTCTCCTCTTTGGTTTCCTCGTTCCGTCCTCGGAATTGCTCTCCGAAGTATTCTCCCCGCTGCATCGTCCGGACGTGACACGCGGGGCCGACTTCGGACTTCGTCACTCGTTTTCGCGCCCTTCTAATTTCGATCTCTCATCCCGTCGCGAAGTGGCGCTTGACGCTCGCTCGGTTCACTTTCTTCGCCGGGCTCGATCAGCTCCACGTGGAATTCGCTCTTGTCTCTAGTCCGCACGTGCGACCCCGCCGTCGACATTTATAATAGTTCCTACGATTATCTGCGTCTTACAACGCGCCGGCTGAAGTATAATATCGATCAATTGCCGTTCATTCCACCCCGCCCCGTCTCCGTCGGCAATGTGTATGTATGTCTCTCTCTCTATGTGTGTGTGTGTGTGTGTGTGTGTGGACGTCTCGTGTATGCGAATCGTAATCTCGTAAGAATGCGTCCTATCTAAACGCTACAATTTCCCGTGCTCAAAGGTCATCGATCACCGATAGTTTCAAAGTTCAACCCGACCTATTTCGCACGTGACGAGGAGGATCTCTCTCTCTCTCTCTCTTTCTCTCTATCTATCTCTATCTCCCCCTTCACTCTTCCTGCCGGGACCGTGCACGAGGTAGCTGTGCGCCGTGTAATTGGCACGGCGTGTTCCGCCGCTGCCGATTCTATATTCAGACGTGCTCCCGACGCTCTATCAGCCGAGGGCGATGTATCACAAGGCCCACCGAGTCGCTCTACCGGTTGAGCGCCGGTAGACTTTAATTAATACTTTCATACGCCACCGGCGAGAGCGAGGGAGGGAGGACGGGGGAGAAGGGGAATTTTGTACGCAAATACGCGGACGAACTGCCATTAGCATAATTGACGCCGGGAAAATGATAATCTTCCTATAGCGAGACCGCAATTAGTGTTAATCCCTTTTGAGAGACGTCCGGAGTGAGACGCTCCTAATCAATAGCGGCCCTCATAATTCTAATTAAGAGCGCGCGCTCGCGAGTCACGTGTACGAAGAAATTACCGAGCCGCCGCGGGCGCTCTATCCGGGCGAGAACGGCGGCTAATTTTTGGACGTAATTTTGCGACCGGATCTCCCCGAGACCGCGCGGCCTTTCGCGTTTAACTTCGGACGACTTTAAACTTCAACCTCCCTACGGCGCACAGCTTATCTGGAATAGACGCTCGTTTCACCCCGGACGTGTGCCGTTGTTAATAATGGAAGATGAAAGGCGGTTATCTCGCGAAACGCATTGCGTGTACAACGCGGACGGTACACGGCGGTATCTCCGCCGGTGTTGAATAAATCGTTGAATAAATTAGATCATATTTTGCGAGAGATATCAAGAGTCACGTCCGGATCACATTGCGTCCCGCATCGGACACGGTGGATGACATTTTCCCCCTCATTTATCCCGCTCGTTTATTAACAACGAGCATTAAAAGAGCGAGCGATGGGACGCATCGGCGGCGCATTGTCGACGCACCGGGTGCGGAATATAAATCATTCGCTCGGCAGAATATACGAATATATTTCATGTTTGCGGTGCGCGACGCGGTCGGTCATGCCACGGGACAATAACTTCCTTGACGGTGACGAATCTCGTCCTCTGCTCCCCCGTCTCCTCCCTCGCGCGTGACAGAAATGGCTCTTGTTGGTGTCGCAATCAAGGCTATTCCTCGTTAACCGGATCATTGATTCGGTACATACGGTATACGCGCGCGGGGCTACCGGGAACGATTATGGCGTGAACAATTCACGCGGGACATTAATAATTTCATGAGGAGCGGCCGAGCGATGACTCGGACGCGCCGAGCGGCGCATGTTAATATTTATCTGGTTATTAAAGAGTTACGCGGGGAAAGTCATTGGGGAAGGGAGGAAAATGACGAACGACATATGGTCACGCTGAAATACAGCGAAGAGAGGCACCTTTGATTAATCGTGTTCTGCCGAGCGTTGGTCGAGACGACGCGACGTTCGCAATTTCCTACACTGGATCAGGCAATAACTATTAGCACCTTGACTGTATCTCCGAGATATGACAGCGGAAGAAAAATGTATCCATCAGAGAAATTGCATTAAACAGTCGTCTCGCTTCGAACACCTTTTGCAAATGCAAACTTTCCTCCTCTTCATTTAGTGTGAATAAAATAATTTTATCTCTCGAAAGCATTCTCTCAAGGTGGTGGCAAATTGAGATAAAGATTTCTTTGGATTTGATAGAATATCTTTAATTGAAAACAAATTTATCTTTTAGCCGAGCAAACCGTCGAATGTTTGGCCAAACAAACAGGATTGTTTGGTTTCTCGAACGATAAATGTCTTCACGTTAAATAACACACATTTCTTTTGTATTTTTATCATCCAAACATCACGATGGTTGCCACAAACAATAAAATTAATTGAAAGAAGTAACGTTATGTTAAAAAAATATTAAAGAACTTCTTTATTTTAGTGGAACAATATTTAACGTATAATGAAATAGGTTTTTATTTATTGATAATGAAATGTTATTTCTTCTAAATAATACTGCTTTTTTTCTATCAAACAACATGATTCGCTCTAGTGAAACCTAGTGAAACAACATTTTTATTGAAACAAAAGGAACCCTTTTCTCCGTGTAGTTATTGTTTCACCCTATGTGTGTATGAGAGTGTGTGTGTATATGTGTGTGTCGCTCAGTTGGCTAAGATAAGTAACAGTCCGATGCTTTTTGGAAAGAAGGAGAAAGAAACGAGGTGATATGATTGTCCATAAATTCGAGCGTCCGCGGAAGTATTCAGACGGGAGGTGTTAACGTTCCGACAGTACTTCCGAATGTTCGCGGGCGGTTTGCCAAGTCGACAATGTCCGTCTCATCTCTCTCTCTTTCTATATAGATATATAGATCGTGCCGACAACTAACCGGCGACGAATTCCTGCGGGAGTCTCTTTGTCCGATGAATTTCTCTCAAGTGGATTCCCGATTACTGGTCGCGCGCGCGTAGCAACTTTTCTCGATACATGTGTATCCGACCGATCATCTGCAACATCACCCTTACGACAACGTGTGTCCCTTCGTTCCTTACACTCGACGTCACATCCTCGCCAAAAATCCTCGCCGAGAACTTTATCTTATCTCGAGAATCGTCCGACCGTGCGTTTCCGCGTCGCAAACCGGGGAAGAGATCTTTGCCGTTTTGTGACTAAAATAGCGCAATGAAATAGTCAGACTCATTTTTGCAGCAAGAGAAAGAGAGAGAGAAAGCTATTACACTGGGAAAAGTCATTTTGCTGTTGCAACGGAACATCGTTCGAAAGTTGCGTAAATAATAAATTTCAGTTAGCATAACCAAATTAGCAAATTATTCATCATTACAGCAGAAACAGTCTTGTCAGGATAGAAAATATTCTGCTGAATGAATTTGTCCTTAGGACATAATTTGCCGTTAGAACAAAATAGTGTTTTCCTGCATTCGCTAATTTGTTCTTACATCAAAATAATCGGTAGATTCAGCAAAATAATTCAGCGAGTGGCAATTAGTATTTTTAACAAATTGTTTCGCCGCCCATAGAATAATTGATAGATTTTGCTGCGGCATAAAATTGCCGTTGTCGGCAAATTATTTCTTTCCGTGTATATGTCGAGATAATGGTAATCAAACATTCTACGCATATTTCCACTGTTACGTTTTTGTTAGAACAGTAACAAAATAAGGTTGACGCCGAGAACGAAGCTTCAATTTTGGCGGAATCATTTAACCATCTCTTCTTTTCTCTTTTGCGCGTTTCCAGCGGAAGGAAGACAGGTGAGAGATCATGATCTGGATTTCGTGTTCACACAGGAACCATGCTGGAACCAAGAGCGGCCGCGGCTGTCGGCCAATCGGGTCTCATGTCGCTCTACGACGCGATGTTCGCTCAGTACGGGGTGAAGCTCGCCCAGGTGCTGGTGACCAAGCCGGACTTTTACAACGAGGAGACGCGCAAGAACCTCTTCAGCACGCTCACCGAGCTGATCAGCCTGAACATCGTGCCGATCATTAACACGAACGACGCGGTCTCGCCGCCGCCGGTGGTCGATGAGGAAGTCGCCGGCGGCGGCGGTCGCAGAGGCATTTCCATCAAGGACAACGACTCCCTGGCGGCGATGCTGGCGGCCGAGATCCAAGCGAGCCTCCTGGTGATCATGAGCGACGTCGACGGGATCTACAATCTGCCACCTTGGCAGGACGGTGCGAGGATGCTGCACACATTCAGCTCCGATCACAGAGGCACCATCAAATTCGGCGAGAAGTCGAAGGTGGGCACCGGCGGCATGGACTCCAAGGTCAACGCCGCTCTCTGGGCGATGGACCGTGGCGTCTCGGTGGTAATCTGCAACGGCACCCAGGAGAAGGCCATCAAGAGCATCCTGTCGGGCAGGAAGATCGGCACCTTCTTCACACAGACCACCGGCTCGTCCACTCCTGTCGAGGTGATCGCCGAGAATGGTAATACTCTTATCTTTTATTTCAAACTTTGCTTTCTCTTCTCTTCTTCTCCTTCTTCCTTTTCTCGTTCCTCTCTTTTTCTTCCCCTCTGATCCTTCTTCTCTTTCCTCCCTCTCCTTTATTCCTTCCCTTATTTTTCTCTCACTTCTTTCCTTCGCCACGTTTTCTCTCCTCTTTCCTCCTCTTCTAATTTTCCCCGGGAATCCAACGTTTCGCGAGCACGGATAAATAATTCTTGTAAATAACGGGGTCTCTCGGAGCTCACGTGAAGCAGGCGCGCGTGAAACCTCCTCCTTGATTATAACGCGCGTGTGTGTTACTCGCTCACTAACGTTGTCGGTTCGGCTAAGCGGTGTGCTTTTATCCGGCCGAGATGCGAACCATCGAAATGCGGTGTCGACTGCACTCTCAGCATGCGCATGTAAATCCGGAATAAACGCGGCCGGCTTCGCGTGTTTTGCATATTATTAATCCCCTCGTCGTTGAAAAGTTCCACTCGACGCCACACGCTCCTTCGTTATACGCGAGATATTATTACGGTAACGCACGTACCCTCTATCCATCTGGACGCTTCTCCGCGTATACGGGCGCGCCATATATTCCCAGCTTTTGTTGTTCGGATTGAGCGTATTGTTTTTCACCGGCGTTTCGAACGGAATAGCATCGATCGCATCGACGCTTCTTCATTAGACGGTCTCCTTCGTTAACGAAAATTCACGATCGCTTCAATGGAACTTCTATGACGGTCTCGTGTGCCGGATGGAATAACTCAACTACGCTTGATTTATTATCCCCTCAATTTCCATATGTCGGACAGCCGGGTGCTTCTCCTTTTTCTTTTATCTCGCGCCCTCCATCTATCTTGTCCGTCGTAATCGATCGCGGTAACTCATATTTTCGATTTCGCGTTATATTTACGTACAACGTTCTTCCTTTCTTTCTTTTCTTTCCCCCCTTTCTTTTTGATCGAGGTATCAAGAACATTTCTTTTTTAAGTCATTTTCGTATTCAGCCAGTCCTAGGAGACCCCTGCCATTCGCCCCGTGTCGGCTGCTAAAACGGGTGAATAAAAAACGTTTCAGCCCGCGTCGGCAGCCGAATGATGCAGGCGCTACGCCCGGAGGAACGTGCCGAATGCATCAACACTTTGGCGGACCTGCTGGAGACGAAGCAGCCCGAGATACTCGCGGCGAACGCGCTGGATCTGGAAGCGGCGAGCAAGGCGAGCCTGGCCAAGGCTCTGCTGTCGCGTCTCTCCTTGACGCCGGCGAAACTGAAGTCCCTGAGCTCCGGTCTGCGTCAGATCGCGGTGGACTCGCTGAGGAACGTGGGTCGCGTGATCCGCAGAACAAGGCTGGCCGAGGGCCTGGAGCTGGAGCAGATCACAGTGCCGATCGGGGTGTTGCTGGTGATCTTCGAGTCCAGGCCGGACAGTCTGCCCCAGGTGGCCGCGCTGGCCATGTCCAGCGCCAACGGGCTGCTGCTGAAGGGCGGCAAAGAGGCCGCCAACAGCAACAAGTACCTGATGGAGCTCGTGAAGGAGGCGCTGAACAAGTTCGGCGCCTCGAACGCGATCTCGCTGGTGTCTACGCGGGAGGACGTGAGCGATCTCCTCTCGATGGAGAAGCACATCGATCTCATAATACCGCGCGGCAGCTCGGAGCTGGTGCGCACGATTCAGGATCAGTCCAAGCACATACCCGTGCTGGGACATGCCGAGGGCGTATGTCACGTTTACGTCGACAAGGACGCGGACATAGCGAAGGCAATGCGGATCATACGGGACTCCAAGTGTGATTACCCCGCGGCTTGCAACGCCATGGAAACGTTGCTGATACACGAGAGCCTCATGAGCGGCAGCTTCTTCACGGACGTGTGCAGCATGCTGCAGAAGGAGGGGGTGAGTTGAGCTCCGTTCGTCACGATGGCTCGGGAGAAAGAGAAGGAAGGGGAAGAAATGGAGAGAGAGAGAGAACGGTAAACGAGCGATTATCTCGGGATTTCCTTTTATTTCTATTTTCAAAAGAGTATCAGAGTTCTGCCGACGGCGAAAGGGATTAAGCACCGGGGATAATCAGTCTATCTGGATTTCTTGCGCCGTATCCTATTTCGCGTTGTAAACGAAACTCTCGCCGAGTCAGTCGCCCGGATCCCGCGAAAGGATTCTCCTCAAATTACATTGTACAGGCGCGTACATCACGGCTTGGCGGACCAAAGAATCGATCGAATTGATCTTCACCTTTGCGGAACACAGATTCGCTCGCGTATCCGAAATTTTAACAACGCTCTCCGTCCTCACCTCGGTTTACCTCAATTTCCTATCCGTGCCGAAATCGTCCGTCTCCACCAGGATTGATCCTCCGGGATCCGTCTTCTCCTCCGTACGATTTTCCGTCACGACGCTAACGTTACGTACGCGCGTATCGCGCGAGCGACCTTCCAGGTGAAAATCAATTCCGGCCCAAAGCTGAGGGAACTGCTGACCTTCGGCCCGCCGGCCGCCAAGAGCATGCGAACCGAATACGGCGCGCTCGAGTGCACCATCGAGGTGGTCTCGGACGTCGACGACGCTATCAATCACATTCATAAATACGGCAGCAGTCACACCGACGTTATCGTCACCGAGCACACCGACGCGGCGGTGCACTTCCAGCGGGAGGTGGACAGCGCTTGTGTCTTCCACAATGCCAGCAGTAGGTTCGCGGACGGCTATAGATTCGGTCTCGGGGCGGAGGTAAGCCGGCCGGGATCTTCTTCGGCCGAAGGAAAAAGGAATTCGCTCAGTTCATATGATGCAACTGTAATTCAGTCGCTTTTAGCTCCCAGAGCTGAAAACAACGTACAGAGACAAGGAGAGTTAGCTGAATTAACTAAATTTCAGTTGCTGTACTATATGGACAGCCAAGTTTTTACCCGTGGAAGCTAATTCCTTTTTCCCTCGCGTGAGTCACGAAGAGACACGCCTTGATATGTTTTGCATTATCATATGTACAGTGTGTTAGGGCCATGGAACACGGAAAAACGTAAGGAGTAAGGCTTAAGCAAATTGGCCAATCACAGTCGATTATTCCTCGACCGTAAGGAGAATAATCGGCTGTAATTGGTCAATTTTCTTACTGCTTACGTTTTTGTGTGTGCCTTTACTTGGCATACTGTACAAACTTAAGCACATTTCTCATGCAAATCAAAGTAGAAAATGTCCCATAAACATCCATAATTCAAGATCCATCGTAAGACTTTTATACTTCAATTTGCACCCGAAACATGCTTCTTAAGTTTGTGCAAACGTCATGTATATAATACCCTGCATATATGTATACTTTAAATAATTTTTAATAATATTTATCAATAATATTAATTATTTTTACATATTTTTATATAATTTTAATAATTTTAATAATTTAATATTGTAGTAACTTTTGTTCATTTCTTTCTTTCTAAAGGTCGGCATTTCTACGGCACGTATCCATGCGCGTGGCCCTGTAGGAGTCGACGGGCTGCTGACGACCAAGTGGGTCTTGAAGGGTGGCGGACACGCGGCCGCGGACTTTGCCGAAGGCGGTACCAAGAGCTGGCTGCACCAATCCTTGCCCCTCTACGAATCATCGTGAATCCAGCCGCTTCGAGTCTCTCGTGATCTCGGGGATTATTGGAGCCGCTCATGAGATAACGCGTATGAGCGATTCCGCAGCACAGAAAGTCGTATGCTGCGAGATGTAAATCGAAATAAGCACACGTGATATGTAAACGATCGTTAACTAGTTTTTATTTATACTAAATTGTTCCTGGTGTTGATTTTTATACCGAAATGTTCCTGGCGCATCGCACATCGTACGAAGATTAACGTCGAGCCAGTGTCACAAACGACGATGCGATTCGCTGACGCGACGGAAATAAATATCGAATTTGTACGTACAAAATTAGCGTTAAGTAGATAATACGATATCGCTTAGAATAAGGACGAGAATTATGAATTTATCTCCGAAGTTCTCCGACGTCTCGAAGAATCCCGGAGGTGCCTGATATTATTTCTAATAAATTATTAAATTCGAGAAGGAAAACACAGAGGGGATGAGACATTGGTTTTTTCTTTTACCGCGTGACGTGACAGCAGACGTGGCAAGTGTATCAACTTCGAGCGAATTGGATGCGAGTGAAACATCGAGGATCAGTTACTCTTGCTGCCCGTAAATAATAGGAAAAATAGACGAACTTTCGGAACAAGATCTCTCTGTTCTCGGTGGAACGCGACGTAAGATCCACAGTGGAAGTTTCATAGTGTCCGTTGTACCAACGTAGTTCGGGATTTCGCCGAAAGTTCGTTAATAATGAAACGATGAGCGGAGAAAGAGAGAGAGTCTTCTCATTTCGGACCGCTCTCGCGTCTTCAAATGTACTTGACAAACCTTGAGCGGACGGGGGATGTTCGGATCCAACGGTGAAACGCTCGTACGCTCGGCTCTTTTGTCGAGAACGATACAACGACGACGTTGGTGCAACACAGCGATGCGCCTATTGAACGGCCAGCTGCCCCAGTTATAAATAACGTCGAAAGTTTACGCGCGATTATAAGACCTATTTCACGGAAGACGGATTTTTAAAATACACATTACAACACACACACACACACACACGGCACAAGTTTCAATCCGGAGCCAATCTCGCACTCTCGGAGTCGGGCATGCTAAAGTGTGCTAAAGTGAAAGTTACGTGCACGTTAATTGTGCGTGTGATATTAGTTGTTTCGGTGGGAATCGGTTTTTTTTTTTTTTTATTGAGACGACGATACGATAATACAAAACTGTGCACGCGTGCGGCACGACGCGCATTAACAAAGTAATCTGTTATAAATTACAGAAGATCGCCGGGACAGATTCTTTTTTGTTCATTAGATTTCGCACTAGTAGCACGTTGCATATCCGTCAGTCATGAATGCAAGTCGACTTCAATGGGAGAAACTTGTGGCGCCACCTCTGCCTTACTCCGGCGCCCACAGCTTGAACGTCCTGTCGTACGAGCTGGTCGCGATGAACTTGTGATCGGGCGAGACGTCGACGGACATGACCTTCCCGTCGTGGCCCGGCAGCATCTTGAGCGGCTGCCAAGTTTTGTTCGACCAGATCTTGGCGGTGTTGTCGTACGACGCGGTGACCAGATACTGGCCCTCCGTTCTCTGATACTTCACGTCGGACAGGAGATTGGTGTGCGCCGGGATCGTGTATATGCACGTGCGCTTCCTCAAGTCCCATATCTTGCAGGTGTTATCCTCGCTCGCGGTGGCGATGTGGAAGCCGTTCGGCGAGAAGTCGATGCCGAAGATCGCACGCAGGTGGCCCTCCATGAACATGATGCACCTGCCGGTGCGCAAGTCCCAGACGCGGCCGAAGGAATCGTGACCGCCTGTGGCGCAAACGCTCCCGTCGCACTGGAAGCTACATGAAGAAGCAGACGAGCCGAAACTTATTACAGTTGTATTGTCTTTCGTTTGAAATCATAAAGTAAAACTGTATCCACCGGCTTTGCTTCCGTTAAATCCTCAAGTCGACGGATCCACATTAGGTGAAATGAGCCTTTAGCCTTTTGCTCCAAGGCGTTTTACACGCTGCCGAAAGTCGTAAAACGCTTCAAGTTGTGTCTACAATGCGGTCGTGCAGTCGTATAGTCGCGGTCGTTCGGGTCGGTCCAATTCCAGCAACTACGAGCAATCTAGTCTCTGGAAATTGGAAGTGGACCGATTCGAACGACCGCGGTTGTACGACTTTACGTCTGTCCCAGCTGACGCAGCTTAAATTCAGTTTACAGTTAGTTAGGAAATGCTACATCCATTGCGACTGAAAACGCTTCTTGCTAGAAATTACGTTACAGTTTAATGCTTGGAGCAAAAACTTAGTAATATTCGGAATCTTTTTAATTTTATTATCTTTATTATATCAACTGATGCATCAAAATATAGCGTTAGATAAAAAAAATAAAAAATATTTTCATACTTGTAATATTATGTACGTACGTCTACCTCAGCTTCGTTTCAAATTATTTAGGTAGTGAAACAAAGGTATAAGGACGTAATTTGCTGGTGTCTATTGGTATTTGCATAAATACTAAATTTATGAGCGGCCCGTTTGACGTACCGCTAAAAATACTTTCATCGTGTATTAATCGCAATTGTTATTCTTACAGGATTTATCCTAGAGCATAATAAAGTGGATTCTATCCTATTATAATCTATAAAAATACGGCATTAATGGGCAAATCATCCTTCCTAAGCGATTATAAATCAGCGTAGGCGAGGAAATGAATACCTGATGCAATGTACAGGTCGTGCGTGACCCTCTTGGTGAAGCACTTCCGCCTGCTGCTCCAAATCCCACAATCTCCAGGATGAATCGTGGCAACACGTGCCGAGAAATCGTCCAGACGGGTGAAAGGCTATCCTGGACACTCGGTGAGGCTCGTGTCCTTCCACTTCCGCCAGTGGCTCTTCGCCATTGCCACCACTCCACAGTTTCACCGAACCTGTTTGATGTAACGTTCATAATGTAGATACAGCAGGAGGTTCTCTCTCTCTCTCTCTCTCTTTCTCTCTTAAATACCACATTGATACACAAGATGACATATGCATACCGTCCGTCGCGCAAGACGCCAACACGCAAGTCTGGCCCGTGTTCTCACCTACCACATCTTCGGTTATCGTAGCTTTTGGGTGAAAAACAATACAGCCAACATTACAAGGGTGTCCTTTTAAAGTGCGCAACAAAGTACAGTCGGGTACAGACCATAACTTGCACAGGCCTGACCACGAAGCGGTAACGAGAATCTTTGAGTTCGGGCTGAATTGGCAAAAGGAAATGGGCCTAGTGTCGCCGATCTGAGAGCAATAGATGCTCAACGCTTGCAACTTCTTCAGAAGTTCTTGCCTTTTCGCTGTGCGAGTAGCGGCTGGCAACTCGAGATCCTGACGTGCCTTCTCCAGCCGTGCCTTTGCCCTGGGCAATGAATATGCTGGAAACAAGAAAGTAAACGACAAGAAAAAAGATAGAAGGAAACAAAGAGAAAATTGTACTTCTATTTCACGGAAAGTTCAACGATACGATGGAGACTCACTCGATATCCATGACCGTGCAATTTGTAAGGATTCCGGACCTTCGTGGTACCACGTGGTCTCCGTGTCTCTCTCAATCGTGTGAGACGGTTTCTCCTCCTCTTCATGCTTCTTCTTAATAGCATCCTCACCGACACTGGCTAACAATTCTCTCAGTCTCGTTCTACGGTCTGCGGGACCTTCTCCAAACAGGCAGATCGGTTCGCCCAGTTGCCTCAAGTGTTTCTTCACTTCCGAGTCGTCCGTGGAGACATTAATCTGCCTGGCCTTCTTCCTACGTTCGAATTCCTCCAGCAGTGCCTGACGATCCTTAGACATCTCGTCCTCCAGCTCCATGTACTCGTTCGAGATGTGCACATTTCCAGCTGAGATGGAAGCGCTCGCAATATCATCCGTACTCGTGACATCCTTCTCACCGTCGGCGACCTCGACCGCAGCAGCGAGCCGAGTACGTTCCGCTTCCTCCAGCGAGCCATAGTGCACGGTTTTCTGTTTCTTCACGTAAACCAAGTCCTCGTCGTCGGACATATTTTCAGGTTAGGATCAACCGGCCTGTCGTTATTTTGCTGCCAAATATCGTACACGTTATTATTCAGGTAAAATGAAGTCCTCACATTTACCAGCGACGGGAAGTATCGAGAAAAGCGTAGGACTGGGAATCTTATGATCGACTGAATGTAGGATTTGCGTTAAAGTGGAGATGCAACGAACAAAGCGTAAGTAATATTGTTTATAATGGTACTTACATAACATGGAAATTAATCACTAAAATTATAATTATTCACAATATATTAAATATATTTAAATGTATATCACGGTTGTCATTTCTCTAAAGAATTTACACAACACTTGACGGTCACACTTCGGTGCGTCCTTTTTGTCAAAACTTACCGCACTTGTGTACGTAATGTACGCTAACCTTTACTTTTATATTGCGTTCCGAAACCTAACTCAATGGGTAGAGCAGTATTTGATTAACTAATCACAATAAAGAAATCTTTGACTTGATTGGTCAATAGCTGCATCGGCAGAGAAAACAGCTTTGAACTGTTGTAAAATTCGGAACTCTGGTTGGTGTATGCTTTTAATCTTGGTTAAATCTAAAAATATGCACCAATCAGATTCACGAATTTTGCACAGTTGCAAAGCAGCTTTTCTGCTACACGCAGCCAACCAATGCTACTTTATCCGTAGAGTAGAATTTTCGAACGTAACCTTAGTAGTAGTAAGTCCAGCAAATACAGTTTCCTTATTATTCTAATAGGTCTGAAAAGTAGAGACTTTAAGCTGCAAAATGCTTTTTAAACCATCGTGAAATAATATTCCTAGTCGAATCTTATGTTCAAGACTGTCATAAATTTAAGTTTAAGCTGTCTCAAGTTTATTTTCAGATGCTTCGTAGCCAATGAAATAAGCCGTAGAGCATCAAAAAATAAACTTAAGATGGCCTTAAAAGATTTGACTATGAATACTGGCTGTAGTGGAAACTGGGACTAATTTCTGAAAATAACGGGTCTTTTATGTACTCGCCCCACATTTAGACCTCTTATTTGCCATTCAAAATAACGGTTTTAAACTCTGGACATCCCTGATTAGGCCTGTTATTTCAACGGCAAATAACGGGTTTAATAAAATGGAGGGTTCCTTATATTCGTTATTAACCGTGTTATAACGGATCAACAAAATTCCTGAAGACCCTATTCAAATAAACTTGCATAATCGCATATAGCATATGCATAAGGAAATTAATTATGATCCGTACAGTAAAAGGTTTTTCATATCGGACGCATGATTGGTTAATTTCCTCGTGCGCATATGCATTATATGACTGTGCAAGTTCGTCTGAAGTAGGCCCTTAAGATTTATAACTTTTACATTTTCTCTCAATAAATTAATATTCCAACGAGAATCTCTTTCGCTAAGAGCAGATTGCTATCTTGAATTATAATTCCTAATCCAGGTAAAATAGAAAGTTATGATGATACAAAAAACGAAAAAATTAACTATAATTCATTTTTCGATCATTTTCTCGTCATCTTGACGTTATCGTAATCTTTTGTTCTACGAAGGAAGTCTTCACTGTAAGTCATCAGTTGTCTTAACAAATCGAGGCGATAATACTCAACGATAAGGTATATTTTGTATATATCTACCAATGTCTGTAAGTTTAGTAAGTGTTATTACGCAAATATAACCGTATCATAAAATAGCTGCGCAATGACATACTCGACAGTTGCTGGTAAATTTGTATAGAATAGTCCCAAGTCAGAAAAGCCCTTACTTTTTTAAATTACGATTCAACAACGGATCAAACTTTTGCTCTTCATTTTCTTATATTCGTATGATTAACCAGTGAATGAAACAGATCTTTATCTACTGGCAATTATAGATTGAAAAATTAGAGTGTAAGAGGATTTCAGGTGTTGCAAAACATAAAATAAACTAATCATCTACACCTTTTTGAATTTAACAAAAGATACCACTACTATTATTTTTTCAGAATTCAAATATTGTTCCCTATCGAGGTTTGTTCTTATTAGAACCATGTATTACTGCTTGAAAAATACATTTATCCTTTTTGAAGGATTGAATACAGCAATTAAATCAAAATTTATGAAATGGTTTCGGAAATACTAACTATAGACTGACTATAGAGTAACATATTTTCGTAGAAATTCAAATTTATGTGTTTATTGTTATAGGCAGTTTTACTTATTTAATACGAGTCGTGAGATTATCAACGTTATATTATTGGGGCCCTGAAAAGGGCCGTTTTGGTGTCAATGCTCGTTCACTTTGAGCTCGTGTACTTGGTAACAGCTTTGGTTCCCTCACTGACCGCGTGCTTCGCCAATTCACCGGGCAGTAAAAGCCGAACGGCAGTTTGGATTTCCCGAGAGGTGATGGTGGAGCGTTTGTTGTAATGAGCCAACCGTGATGCCTCGGCAGCAATGCGTTCGAAAACATCATTGACGAAACTATTCATGATACTCATAGCCTTGCTGGAGATACCGGTGTCAGGATGGACTTGCTTCAGTACTTTGTAGATATAGATAGCATAGCTCTCCTTCCTCTTCCTTTTCTTCTTCTTGTCGGTCTTGCTGATATTCTTCTGAGCTTTGCCGGCCTTCTTCACCGCCTTGCCGCTAGCCTTGGGTGGCATGCTTGATTCCCGGTAAAAGATGCGCGCTGAACAGTCAAAGACAGAAGTCTCGGTTCGAATGCCCGTCGTTCCTACGGCGCGCTCATATATAGTAAGCGAGCGACGGTGGCGCCGACCAATCACGCGCGCGGAGCGCCCGAGCTCAGTTCTCCCGCAACGCCATTGGTCGGCGCCTGCTGTGACGAGACGGTATAAATATGGTACAACGGGCAACCGCCGACACATATCTTCGAGCTCTCGAGTGCTTCGTATTGCAGTTAGCAGCGTATATTACTTCAACTCAGCGAAATGTCTGGCCGCGGCAAGGGAGGCAAAGCGAAGGGAAAGGCGAAGTCCCGCTCCAACCGAGCTGGTCTGCAATTTCCTGTCGGTCGTATCCACAGGCTTCTCCGTAAAGGGAATTATGCCGAGCGTGTCGGTGCCGGTGCTCCGGTTTACCTCGCCGCTGTCATGGAGTACTTGGCGGCTGAAGTGTTGGAATTGGCCGGCAACGCCGCTCGTGACAACAAGAAAACCAGAATCATCCCGAGGCACTTGCAACTGGCCATCAGGAATGACGAGGAGTTAAACAAATTGCTCTCCGGTGTCACGATCGCTCAAGGTGGTGTACTGCCGAACATCCAAGCAGTGTTGTTGCCAAAGAAGACCGAGAAGAAGGCATAACTTGCAACACCGAAAACATCACAAATGGCCCTTTTCAGGGCCGCAAATGTCTCAAAACGTGGGAATTCCAATTCGCAATCAACCTCAAGAAACTTTCCATTTATTCATTCCTACTATTAAACATAAAATTGAAGTGTAAATAGCGTATATAAAGAACTGATTCTTAATATTAAATTACGACGCTATTGTTTCCCTCACTTTCGATTCAGTTCAAATTGATTACAATTCATTTATTAATAACAAAAGTTTTATTGCACAGTGCAAATAGAACCTGATATCCAGCCAATACTCTATTTTTAGTTCGATCAGTGTTAGCTTATATATAGTAGAAAATAACATTTGTAAGCAATGAGGAAAAGAGAATAACATGAAAAGAAACCAAAAGTTAGATTATTGCAATAGAAGTATACCGTTACTGACTCAGATTTTGATTTAAACGATTTCTGATAGAACTCGTATTCAAATATTAATTAAACGTAATTCACAAAGGAGGATACGACTCACCTTACGATTTTGATCCGCTTACATACGAGAGTACATCGGAAATAAACGGATACATGTATGAGATTTCGTTGGAATACACTTGGCTAATGTTTTCTCATACTTAAAAATTTACGTATTCGATAATGTATCATAAAAATCGAAATGAAACGATTGTTTTCAGTATCGCATGGCATAACGAACCTCATTAGTATACAACATTCCGGGATTCGATTCTAATTTTTTTCTACTAATGTTTATTCATTATGTCAATACGAAATATTACATTGAATGCCGTGGGAGTCACCGGTGATCGCCGCTGTTATATTACCGTGTTTTAAGTTATGTATGAAATATAATCAATGGAATCTGCAAAGAAAGCTGTACGGCTAATAAAGAACCAACGTGAAGTCAGACGAAAATATGCATCCCGAATTATATTTATTTACTGCGGCTTCTGATTTAATTATCATTTTAATGTTTGAATGATCAATAAAAAGCAGCACGAGCACTTAACGTATTAATATATAAAAGACAATATCGCATATTTTTATTTGTAGATAATACAGGGTGCGGCGAAAGGTTTGCCCGAGTTTGAAAAATCCGTTGCTCACCAGATGGCGTGAGTAGGTTGTTGGGCAGGGTCTCATTAGGAAGGTTGTTCTCAACCGTTTTCAGTTAACATCATGATTTGGACTGGAGAACATCGTGGATTCGCTGTGCGCTCTTTTTTGGAAAATGGCCGTTCAGTCATTGCGACGCAGAGAGCAATGCGCTTGCGATTCCATATTCCGCGCCATGTTTCCGTACCTGATGGAAAAACAATCAAACGTTGGGTTTCTTCATTGGAAGAAACCGGATCCACAGTAAGAACTCATGCAGTTGGAAGACCCAGAACTGCAACAACACCAGAGAACGTGCAGTTAGTGAGGGTATCAGTGGAACGTTCGCCTAGGCGCTCTGCTCGGAGGCATGCAGTTGCACTGGGTTTGTCGGATCGTTCTGTCCGGAGAATTTTGCACGAAGAATTGTTTTTCCACCCGTACAAGATCATGCTTGTGCAAGAACTGAAACACGATGATTTTGTAAACCGTGTCAATCTTTGTCAAGAAATGCTCAACCGAATCCCTGCAACGTCAACTTTCTGGAGCACTGACGAGGCCCATTTCCACCTCTCTGGTGATGTTAACAAGCAGAACTTTCGGTACTGGGCTGACACCAACCCAAGGCAATTCCATGAGAGACCTCTGCACTCACGAAAAGTCACTGTTTGGTGTGCCATATCCAAATTTGGGATCATTGGGCCTTATTTTTTTGAGGAAAATGGCCATACTGTTACAGTTACAGCTCAACGTTATGTTTTCATGCTGGAAAACTTTTTTGAGCCTAAATTGCAGGAGTTGAGTGAACAGACAAATCTGGGGGAAATTTGGTTTCAACAAGATGGAACAACAGCGCATACAGACCGCATTTCTATGGCGAAACTGAGGCAAATGTTCCCTACTCGACTCGTCTCTCTGAGGGGTGATTTGGGGTGGCCAGCAAGATCGCCCGATTTGAGCATTTGTGACTTTTTCTTGTGGGGGTATCTGAAAGAAAAAGTCTTCAAGCATCGTCCCCATACCCTACAAGAACTGAAAAGGAGAATCATCGAAGAGGTGAACGCCATTCCGATTCAGATGTGCCAAAACGCAGCCCGAAGCTTCCAAAATCGGCTACATCAGTGCATTGCTACTGGAGGCCGCCATCTTGCAGATATCGTTTTTAAACGTTAATGTAAAAAAACTGTTTGAAGTACCAAAGGTAATAAAAAAATTTGCAATCCTCTACATTTAATAGTATTTTATTGATTGCTCTCCAAAATGAGGGCATACCTTTCGCCGCACCCTGTACAATACTTTCTCATAAATGTGACGAATGACAAATATACGAATACGCGTACATTTAATTATTGTAATTTTTGTAATAGTACATTAACCTAATATTTCAATATTTAAATATAAAAAATTATTGTTAAAACAAGATGCATTCGAATAAAAACTCGCACACGTACGTTCGATTTTTCGATGTACTCTCATCGTAGCGCAAATGGATCAGAATCGGTGAGGAATCAGCCGTCCTGCTGTTGTCAGTCTTCTTCTGATGAAATCCGTACGTCGGCATGCGTGTAACTTGATTGTCGACTCAAGCGCGTCTAATGTGAACCTATGTTTGATAACTTAACAGCTGGTTCACGCGCGAGAGCAGATAATCAATAACGGAATGACTCACGCTGTTCGACGTCGGGATTAACCAATAAAGGAATAATTATGGTATTTCGCTCAATAATCCGATAGGCACACTAATCCGATAGTGACATCTGAACACAAATTCAACGTGAAAATGCCTAAATCGAATTTGGAAAACATCAATGATGCTGTGCACGAATGCGGAGCACTCGTTACCTCAAAACAGTTCGATGTGCAGGCACGATGGTTTATACGTTCATGTTAATTCAGGATACTCGATATTACTCGAAATTTATAGGATGGGCCAAAATGCAAATGTTACACTTCTAGTTATTGTGATAATGTATAATTCATTACGAAAAGCGAGATATTTACAAATTTATTTGAAAATCACGATAGGATCATATCAAAGGACAAGTTTAATTTTTTTGGACAAAAATCTAACAGGCAGGTCGTAGTGTCCGGCGATTTGCGAGAGGTCACGTAGCTTTCCTGATTCGAAAAGATCCCAATTCGTTGACTCACCTGACGAGACAACGTGAAAGATATTTATTCGGATATTACATATGATTTCTAGGCAATAATATCAGGATAATAACATTTATGGAAATAAGTCAAGAGTTATGAGATGATTATAACAGAAGTACATCGTCACTGACTTCGAGACTTTCTCCAATACAGTCGTTTCTTGACGGGACTCGTATTCAGACATTCACATAACTTACAAGGGAGGACACGTAGCCTGACTTTCCACCTGATTTCGATCCACTTACATGAGATTACATCGGAAATGAACGATTTATTTGATTCGAAATATATCTCAAATGTCACATCTAAGTTTTTAAAACAAAGTGCAGCACCCATGTGAGCAGAATTCCGCTATATTTTTCAGTAAACGAACCTCGAGTAGATTTCGGCGTTGTAATAAGCGGAGTAACTTCAACATCTTAATGAGTTACGAGAATAAGTGAAATTACGAGAAAAGAGAACATCGCAGGAAGGAAGGAATTTGCAGGAATTCACGGGATTCGAGCGTATATCTGCGATATTTGAAGAATGTACCGAAAGGAGACCAAGATCTCTTTTCCGCGACAAAGAGGCGAGAGACGAACTTGGCGATTGATCAAACCGGCTCATTTAAAGAACGTCGCGTCCATCTTAACGTCTTTATCGTCGTCGGCCGACAACGAACCTGGACTAACTGCTCGAATCGATTCCGTTCGGAATGAACAACACGGGCAGAAGAGGCCGTGTTGCTCCTCGGTCAACAAGTGCAACAAAGAAATATGTTTCGCACGAGGAACGAAACGCGTAAGGCGGCCGTATATTACTCATCGCACCATTCGGGAGTTTTTGCACCGTGTCGTACCGCGCCGAGAAAATAATTTATACGTGTATCGCATGAAAAACGGCGATGTAATGTTTCATTGGTTGACATCGCGCTGTTGCGAGGACGTTGGACTGCGAGTAACGACGAGCGTCCCGATTGGCCGGCGGCGCTGGGGTGGGGAGGCACGCGTATAAAAGCGGGTGGCAGCGGCAGCCGGGCGTTAATCGAGGTTTGCTGGTACTGCGAGTCCGTGTCTCAGCTAGACTTTCAGGATGACTGGTCGCGGAAAGGGAGGCAAGGGATTGGGAAAGGGAGGAGCGAAGCGTCACAGGAAGGTTCTTCGCGATAACATCCAGGGTATCACCAAGCCGGCCATCCGTCGTCTCGCTCGTCGTGGCGGTGTGAAACGTATCTCCGGCTTGATCTACGAGGAGACTCGCGGTGTGCTGAAGGTGTTCCTCGAAAACGTCATCCGTGATGCCGTCACCTACACCGAGCACGCAAAACGGAAGACCGTCACCGCCATGGACGTCGTGTACGCCTTGAAACGCCAAGGCAGAACCCTGTACGGGTTCGGCGGATAAGCGAAGAGCGCAGCACGTTCCTCCAACAAAACAATCGGCCCTTTTCAGGGCCACAAATCGCTTGAACGTTTGGGCAAATTTCTCAGTCGCTGAATAGTATCTCCTGTGCTCTCTCGTAGTGTTTAATACGTGACCCTAACGTCTGACATGAAGTTCGTGCAACGAATAAGTAAAAGTAAAGCGTCGTCGAAATACGCATGTTGTTAACCTATTTTAAGCTGCCTATCGACAAATGAATTAATACTGATAAATGCGTACGCCAATGGCCTATTTGATTATTCGTTGAACGTTGATATGTGCAACGTGACCACTGGGGAACACATTGGACTGCTTCTTTTTTTTTCAAGAATATGTATGTATATGTATCATATATTCCTTAAGAATATTCTAATACTACCGATTGCATTATTTTCTCTATCTTCATGAAATTCTTATTAAAAATGAGACATCGGTAAATTATTGGTTTGGTACACAAGGTCGTTCTGTTTTTTAATCGATATATACATAAAATTTATTTTTAAACGTAATAAAATGCGTGCCGTTTTGTTCGGTGACCTGCATCTCTCGGTAGCATGATCCGTGCTCGTAGAAATTCCAAGATTCTGAGCGAGGAACTAATAAAAAACGGAATGAATTTTTGCGTCAGTTCAATGGCTTAAATATTCTGAATAGAAAATTCACAATTTATGACTCAAATGAAATATTTTTAAATACAATTCTAAATTCACATTTCGACAGTTTTTTTCTAGAGATTATTTAATTGCTCCAAAATACGTGACTAGAAGTTTAAGGGATTTTTCACTTAATGAGTGACGTAAGCCGTTTTCGTAAACATTTCGTTAATAATAAAATAGTAAAATGGGTTCGAGTTATTAAATCGAACTAAAATTATGGTTTATACACGTAACAGCAGTTATGTATTTACGAAAAAATGCAGACTGTCTCATTCAATATTAATTATTATACAAATAAGCAATTTCTAAAGTAAAGAAGGTTCAATTTACAGAAATAAAATATATTTTAAAGGCAGTAATCGCGAAAAGGAACAGAATTCGCATTCGCGAGTATGAAAATGTATCTCGTGGAAGCTTTATCAAGGTTCAGATTATTTTTCATAATCGATCAAATATGAGATCATACTATAGCTGAGCACGTTTAGTACTATGACGTCACTTCGATGTGGTTATACAATATAGATGTTCTTCACTCAATTGACTGCATTAGCTTGTATTAATTTTCGTCTCTTTCAATCCTAAGGCTGTACATTTGTCTCTTTTGAAATCCTACACAAGTGTATACTTTGGGTGAATCAGGACTATATGTAATGAATTCTCGCGCATGTGCAATATAACGACTCTTTCATCCATGTTCTTCTTGAATGATCACTTGTAGTTTAGTTTTTCAAAATTACTTGTTAATTGTAGTTAAATTATAACGTACGACCAGTTAGCAATTGTTCAAACGCACATTGCAGAGTAAAATAAATTACTAAATTAAAATATATCAAGAGAAAGAAAAGGATCGGTTGGGATAACCATTGGCGAATCTCAGATATCCATCGAATATGAATTGGTGGCCCTGAAAAGGGCCGATTGAAAGTAATTAAATTAAGCACGCTCTCCACGAATACGACGTGCGAGCTGGATGTCTTTGGGCATAATAGTGACTCGCTTAGCGTGAATGGCGCAAAGGTTGGTGTCTTCAAACAAGCCGACGAGATAGGCCTCGCTGGCTTCCTGAAGGGCCATCACGGCAGAACTTTGGAAACGAAGATCGGTCTTGAAGTCCTGAGCGATCTCACGAACGAGACGTTGGAAGGGTAGCTTGCGGATCAACAGTTCCGTGCTCTTCTGGTAACGACGGATCTCACGGAGAGCTACCGTTCCAGGCCTGTAACGATGAGGTTTCTTCACGCCACCGGTAGCAGGCGCGCTCTTGCGAGCTGCCTTGGTCGCCAATTGTTTGCGAGGGGCTTTTCCACCGGTGGATTTACGAGCAGTCTGCTTAGTACGAGCCATCTTGCTTCCAAAGTTGCGTCTGTTCGATCGTCACGCTCTGGAATGCAGCGCAAGAGTGTGCCTTCCTTTCGCTCCGGGCGACTATTTAAAGACAGCGGCGAGAGGCGAGCGCGCTGATTGGCTGCGGCGTCGGTGGTGGGGACGGCCGAACGCGTCGGCCAATCAGACGGCTCGGCGAGCCAGCTGCGTTTCACGAAGCGCCTCCAGCGCCTCCAGCACACTGCCCGAGTCTGCTGATCGCGTGGCATTCCCGATTCCAACTGAATGTTATGTTTTGCGACTTTTTCAGAATCTCGTCGGGCGTATGCCCTTGTATAAGAGCAATAGATCATTACGAGGAATGGACAAAAATTCGCCGGATACGCGTTGCGATATCTTAATAGCAAAGCATGCCGGGAAGGATCACGATGATCATTTGTTTATGCAAAATTCCATCTTGAATTTTTCCGTGGAATCTGTGAAAAAGTCCCGCAACACTGTAGGCCGAAATATTCGAAACTCGATGCTCGTTCGAGTTCCCCGATGCCATTCGGTTATTTGATCAGCATTTCATTCGCGTGATGTCAGATCGACCTTTTCGTAGATAACAGCCAAACCGTTTAACACGATTCAAGTTACACACATACATAAACATACAGTATAGACTTTACATTCTTTAATATTTAATGCATCGAGTATCCGAGGCGAATACACGCTTGCAAGTTTTAAAATCTGTCGCGACAATTCGCTCGTATCTATAACGATTTGATTCTTCGACGATGTCGATGACTTTCGTAACGTTATTAATAATGAAATAAAATTTCTCGTTTGGACGAATCGATATATCGAGTGGCACGGAATATTTGTAGATTCAAATATTTCATCGTAGCCGAAATCCGTGTCCTAATTACGAAGTTATTGAACTTCGTAAATAATAAGCGACACGCGTGTATATATCCGTCAATTATATATTTCTCCCGTAATAGAGAAATTCTCCACTTATCTACCCTCATTAAAACCTTTGCACTTAAAGATACAGATACAGCCTTAGAAGTGCATGACGCATAATCTAGATCAGACAACATTGTTTATCAAGAACCTTGTTTGCTTGCTTTTAATCTGCTCAATAAAATAAACGGTTAAAGCAAAATGCGGTGACAATTTATTGCGAAGTGTCCCTACGCGAGCGAAATAAAATACCGATGAATATGCATATGTTTGCGTGAGTTAGCTCGATTGTAACTTCGCGTGCGCACTTTTTCAAGGCATTATAAACGACGTGCCGAATTATTCGAAGTTGCATATCGTGTTTGAATCAATGCAATTAGCGTAACTGTGCACGCGCGTCAATCTACAATGGGTCAATTTGGGAAAATTCGGTAAACGCCGACTTTTCCGTCGATGAAATACGAAATCACGTTTATCTTACACTTGTAGTTTCTTGCTTCGTCGCACGACTGCCGTAAGATATCTCGCAAAGTTGCGAATATTGCGTGCAGCAATTATGAAACTTTCTCCAAGTTTCGGCCGCGTGGAAAATACAAAAACCCCCAACACTGTCGTATCAAAAGTAAGAAAGGAAAAGTTATGTAACTTTAATATTTTTATCTTAATAAACATCAAACGTGAATATAAAATCCCAGGGACGTGTATCACGAGAATCCTGCTGTTTCTTCGAATCAGCGATTAGAAAGTAACAATCGGCGCAACGTTCGAAAAAACCGTAAAATCGCGAAAACCTAGGACGTATCGTAAAATAGCGGCGGAAATCAGGTAGCAGCCTTTATTTTATTTTAGCGATACGATTTTATTCAAGTTTATTCGCAAGATATATATCGAGCCGCTGTTTTTACCGTCTCGTCTGCGAACGGACTCTCGGACTGATCGAAAAATTCGCAAGCTTGATTGGAGAAGAGCACAGATCTCTCGCAACTAAGAACAACCGAGTTTATCACTGCGAATTCGTCGGAAGCACCTACGAAGAACGAAGAAAGTAACCGCAAATATTTCGCAAAGATTAGCTCGATCGCGCAGCGCCTCGGAGATACTCATCTCCGAGGCGTCGTTGCGACATAAATTCCGGAATACCCTCGGACTTTCGTTTCGAACGACTTGTAAAAACGAGAACTCACCGATGTCGTCGACACTTTACGCTGAAAATTCGGACGAATTTGCAAAAAGATCGACGCGAGCACTGACGTGACTCCTGATCGATAGCTCTCGCGGCACGGTATATCACAATCCGACGATCGCGAGACCGAGTCCGCAGGTGAAACCGAGCCCCGGAATCGCGAATCTGCCGAAAACCCGTGGCTATCGGTCGTCGATCGGACATAAATTTTCATTAAAACGAGTCTCCGCGTATTACTATGCCATCTTGTCACGCCGTTCTTCGGCTATGGCAGCCGTTTAACTGCACGGGTGCAATCGACGGCATACAGGGGGTCGCGTGGCCGCGTATACCGTGTTCCCGCGTGGAAATTCCACGATTACGCGGCCCGCATTACAAGGCGAATTACGCGTGCACCCACCCCGGCCGATAATGGCATTTTACAGCGTTCGGCAAAATTGTCTGCAAATGTACTTTGTAATCGGTATTCACATTGTGTTGCTCCGCCGCTTGTATTCCGCGATCCGCGAAAGTTGCTTTTTTCCGCGCTTATACGGTATCCCGCTCGACTTGCACACCTGCGATCGGTTAGCACAGCTATCACGACGTTCCGTAAACGGCATATGCTCCCCGTGCATCGATAATTATATTGTTTATTAACTTATTTCTCGAGTTGTATCGTCGGCCGCGAACGAATCGGGTGCGCGCGTCGCACGGAAGCGGGGAAAAGTACGCGTATATCGGCCGCGTGAGCGCGATAATGCGTATCAATCGAAAGCAGCTACTTGCTGCTAAGCGTACGCGCGCCGATCGCACGGTCTTAATCGTGCAAAATATTGTTTAAACGACGAACAATTGCCGGCCGGTCTTTCATTCCCAGCGACATGTTACCTGCAACATTGGGAGGGCCTCTCTCCATGGTCCGCGCTCGTAGTACAAGAGACGCGCCAGTCGGCAGTAACGGCGAATAGAGGCAACTGTGAACGTTCGAAGCGTTTATATTTGTACTTTGTCTTCAGTCGAGAGATACACAACCGTCTCTTCTCTAGCTCTTCTCTGTATCGCTATGGAGGATAAGAACGCGTCAGGAAACACCACAGCGGTGGAGAACACGGCAGCCGGATCGCCGCCGGCGAAGAAGGCCGCCAAGTCCAAGGCGGCGAAGACCCAGCGCCCGAAGTCGTCGCACCCGTCGACGGCCAAGATGGTCACGACCGCTATCAAGGAGCTGAAGGACCGCAAGGGCTCGTCGGTGCAGGCGATCAAGAAGTACATCGCCTCGACGTACAAGGTCGACGGCGAGAAGTTCGCGCCGTTCATCAAGAGATACCTGAAGGCCGCGGTGACGTCGGGCGCCGTCGTCCAGACCAAGGGTAAAGGCGCGTCCGGCTCGTTCAAGCTGGCGACGGAGGACAAGGAGAAGCGCTCCACTAAGAAGTCGATTACCACGAAAAAGACCACACCGAAGAAGAAGGCCGCGGTGACGAAGAAGGCACCGGCGGAGAAGAAACCGGCGGCGGCCAAGAAGACCCAGGCCGAGAAGAAGCCGGCAGCGGCGAAGAAGACCGCCAAAACAGCGGCGGCGAAGAAGGTCGAAGCCGCGGCGAAGCAGAAAGCGGCTGCGCAAGTGAAGAACCTGTCCAAGACCAAGAAGGCCACCAAAGCGCCGGCCGCCAAGACCAGGACTCCGAAGCCGAAGACCGCCAAAGCCGCCCCGAAGACCTCAAAGGCAGCGAAAAAATAATTTTTCTGACACAGATACACAATTGGCCCTTTTCAGGGCCCCATATCTCTCACACGTTGAATTACCTACCTCGCAGTCGCAATTTTTCTTCTTTTCAGCATTTTTCGTCCCTAGGATATCGTGATCTCGAAAGAGAAAAGGGATCGAAGTTAATTTCACTTGAGATCCTCAAACAGGAAGGAAACACTGACAGGTTAGGTTAGGTTCGATTCCTTAGAAGACTGAGTATAACGTATTCTACTTGTATTTATTTACAGTATTCAAAAGATAAACGAGTCACATTGAAATTGATAATCTTCTTCCCTTGAAACTCGCGATTTAATTACATTTTTAATGTTTTTCTGTATGTTAAATCATTCGAGATATACTTTTCACGCAGTACTTATAATTTTTAAAGGTGCAAAAGACTGTAATGACGTGAGACTATCCCGAGGTAAATCTCCTAAGATTTCGCTTTGCGCTAATTGAATTAATCAAGAAATCGCACGCTGTACGTTTCTGAGCGTCGAATAACAGTCGATTGTCTTCGCTTGATCCGACAAATAACTCACGCATTTGGCACGAAACATATATTGTTGGAAAAATAGTATATGCGGACGAGTCAATCGGATTGCAGTTGGAAACTTCTCGCTCAATAGAGAGAGAGAGAGAAAAAAAGACAGATCACAGCGTCCGTGATTGATCCGTGCGTGCGTAGACTCTCTTCCTGCCGTGTGTGATTCCAGATTCTGCTCGATCGAAACTCGGCTACAATCCGAAAGGGGAGGGGGGCTACGCAAAATTCGTCTGAGCGGTTTTAACACGCAGGTGCTATATGCATTGTGCTCGGACATTTAAAATTTTTCCCAGACGGGCGGGTGTTGTTAGGAAGAGCACAATCGCGGATTGATTTACGTATGAGCAGCGATCTCGTACTTTCCCTATAACCGTTCTCGACTGCGCCCGGTCCTCGCGTGTTTGGCGAATCGACAACTTGGGGGCGAGAGAAAGTCGTTCCCGAAAGAATTGGCAAAATTAAATAGGTTAAATAATACACGACACGCGGCTAATTTGGTGAAACCGTCGGTTTCTGCCGTCAGCATGGCTCCGACCAACGACGACCCCCTCACAGCGACCGGAAAACTTGCGAAACCACCGCGATATCGCCGCACGTAACCCCCCTGCGTGAACTCTTCGAAGTGAGAAGGCGACAGAAAATAGCTTCTCTCGGCCCTTGAGAGAGATCCATTTCCCCAAAGTCTCAACGGGGCGGAGAGACGCCAAGAGCACCGATATACGGGTTTCCATTGGAGAGGAACCACATAGGCCGGAATTATTAAGGTCACGGGAAAGCCTGGAATAGTTGCGGAAATGTTTGCGTCATTCCTTCATACTTCGTGCGTTTAGCTTCTGCGTGTCGTTTTTTTCTCTCTCTCTCATGGTGCCAAAGATCGAAATTCTATTGTACGTTCCGAAAACATCATCACACGTAGAAAATAATCGACGGACGATGAACATCGGGAAGGTCCCGTTGCACCGCGTGATTTAGGTTAGCTGACGGCGACGACGAGACTCTCGGGGTGCTCGCGCCGAGGTTCTTCTCTCGTTCTGGTGGTTTCCCCTTTCGACAAATCCGAAATAATATTCCAGAATGCGGGCGCGTAACCTAACCTTGCGCATTGTTGCAATCGCATCGAGCGATATTTCATGTATGGTTTATTATTCGTAGCGTCATATCGCGTCCTCTCTCTCTCTCCCTTTCTTCGTCCATTACGTGACGTAAAAGTCGAAGAAATTCATTGCATACGAGATATCGGACGACCCGACGATATCCGAGTAAATCGTCTTATCTTGTCGATATCGCCGATGTTTAATTCGCCTTTGTAAAACCAAGTTGCGTGCGCGATCCGTGGACGCACAAAAATTGCCTTTTTGTTAAACATCTCTCTCTCTCTCTCTGCACAAACGCGTCGATAATATTACTTTCCCGTCTTGATCGGCTGATACGCGCGACGACTGCAAGTTCAAGGAAAGCGGGAAAAGGTGAAGCACGAAGAGCGGAGAGAGAAATCGTCTCGGCCCGCGGATTCGTGGGTCTCCGAGTCTGGTGAATTTCCACAATGATAAATAACGTCGTTCTTTCTCTTTAATTACAGCTCGAACAAGATATATATTTTAGAGCAGGAAGTTTACAACTGGTCGCAACAGATGACGCGACTCTGTCGCGAACGTTCGCTTCAGGGTGCTTTCAGGGTGTGCTTCGAGGTTTTTACCGCGCCTGAAGAAGCGCATCATCATCGATAACCGACGTTTGTTTTACAAAATTCGAGAGTTCTCACGTTATTCGCTCTTCTCGGCGCGAAACGAAGTAGTCGTCGACGACGGTGACGATCGGTAAGGGGACGCCGTGGCTTTTGAATTTCGTCGACACGACCGCTACGTGCAACACGTGGCGCTGGTTGTGTCGCCCGGTTCGCTTCCGTGATTGGTCCTCCTCACGTTTGTCCAGTCAGTCCGCTCCTTGGATTCTGATTGGCCGGAATTACGCATCCCTTTACTTGGGCGCCCTGCGGACAGAGGGCGGTTCCTCGCGGGAAAATCGATCGGCAAAGCAGATTTCAATCGGAGAGTCAGATGATACGGGGCCATCTTGCATCCGAGGAATCATCTTATCGACGGACATTAACGTGACGCTGACGGGGAAACGGTCGCCATCTAGCGAAAGGTATCGCTAACACGTGCGAGCTGTTCTCCGATCCGCTTTGAAAATCACGAAACCGGATTGTTAAACGACTCCGAAATGGCGCGAAATGGCGCGAGATCGCGTCATCGGTCGACTGATGTGTCTCGGATTTCAAGTCTCTTCGTGCTCAACGGGAGAAGCAAGTGGGGCCGATTCACCACGTCTCCACGTGGATCTTCCGTAAATTATATTTGCGTTTTTATTGCCGCGGAGAAACGTACGAATGAATTGCGATAGGTCGCGAGGAATGCACGTTGCATGAACAGTTTTGCGCGGCGGACGCGGTCGTGCTCGTAAAGTCAATAAACATGTCGAGGAAGGCCTTCCCTCGTCGTCTTTCGAGCAATAAAGTCCGTGAATATGCCTCGCGACTTTGACGCCTGCGCTGAGAATTTATTCGCGCGCTTGTTCTCATCGACGAATATACTGGACGGAACATGGAATCGAAATCGTCCTAATGGAAAATTACAAAAAAGAAAGTGGTTTATGGAGGAGAGACCTGAAGATGTGTGAGTAATAATGACTCATGTCGACCGGAGTCATAAAGCATTTAGAAATTTTGGCATTCTTTTGCTTAATAAACATCACATGAATAAAGTAGAAACTATTAGTAATATGTATACTATATTATATAACTTAATAATATATATATTTATTTATTTATTTACTTCAACTTACACGCCAAGAAGGGATTTGGTTTACAATATTTTTACCTTAACCACATGCATTCGTTTTTTACACTTTATATATATTTGACTAATCAAAATCTAACACCTAAATATAACAAATAATGCTTCTTTCATTATTTCTATCCTATCCGTCACACTCTTTTTTTATCTAATCGCTTATCCTTGCTTATTCTTATTTATATTTTCCTTAATTCTTGTACTAACTCCCAAACAATTTATTATTCCTCCTTATATCACTTTATTTTCATTCTTATTTTCTTTCTTATATCAGCTTTATTTCTTCAATTTCATTTCTTTCTCTTCTCATAACTTATGCAATATATTTCCTTCAACTGTATTTAATTCATCATCTTATATCCTTCTCCATTGTTCATCCTTATAATTATCTAGCTTTTAAATCATATTCTCTTATTCTATGACATTCTTTTATATAATGGTTTACACAATCCTGTTCTTTGCCACAGGAGATACAACTCAGGTATTTCTTTTCCAAATAATATTTGTTCACTTTCTCCACATTTTTACATCTTAATTTAGCTCAAGTTCCATCTCCCCTATTTAACTTTTCTAGATTTTATTTCCTTAAAAATAGGTCCTCTCCCTTCTATATCAATCACTTTATCTTTTATCACACCTCGCAACTGAAATCTTACTATCCTTCCTATTGTCTATGTATATTTTTTCCCCTATTTATTATCTCTTGTTCACTTTATATTCACATTACTCCTTAGTTCTGAGAGAATACGATGCTGTTATCCCCTTCTCGTTAGACAAAACTCGACCAAAGAAAAGGCAGTGGAAGGGAGATCCGTGCCCAAACATTAACTCCTCTCTTTTTAGGCCCGTCGACACAAAAAAGTCAAAGAAATCTTGCCACATGCTTCGTACACTACTACGTGCCGATGTTCGCGTTTCTCTCGTGCGAACCCGAAGACACCGGGGTCGCCGTTGAGCGATGCGTCCGTTGCTCCAATTACTACAAGCATTCTTCGGCGATAGTAAATGAAGACCGCGTTCGAAGGTCATCTTTGTGCGGGAGCGATGAACCTCTGCGCGTTGCCCTCGCCAAAGGCGACCAGGAGGCCGCGCTGTTGCCAGTTCGGAAACCAGTTAAAGTCGTCCCGGATCGTTTATCGCGAAATTCCGAAGTGCGTTCGCGCACATCGCGGCCCGCATATCGCGTTCTCCTTGTGTGCGTTTCTCCTCCTCTCGTGCGCCGCGCGGTTTTCCCTATCGGGGCGCGCCTGTCATTTTCCGTTTACGACACGCGCTATCGTCGTGTCGCGCGTGTAAACCCCGGACAGTCGCCGTGTGCGTCTCGAAATACGCGTGAAATGCGGCATCATTCACGGTGTACGTTGGCTCACCTTCTAATGGAAATGGAAATGAATTCTCACGTCCAGGAGGCTCGCGACCGTCGATTTTCCGCCCCGGAGGCGCGCGCATAAGCGAGCGTTTTCGGACGGGGGGAGAAATATTGCTATCCGAGCGTGGAATATGTAAATGTAATAGTCGAGGTATTTTGGCATAGACACATGTTCCAGGCTCCTGGACCTTGACCGGGATTACAGGCTCCTTCAAAACGGCAATTTCGTACGATCGAGTCTTTCGCAACGGCCCTCTCTGCCTGCGTCTCTGTCTCCACCGTACCCGTCGGGTCTGCTAACCGAGCTGTCCGCACGTTAAAACTGTAATTAGCACTTCGGCAAATGCGCAAGCCACGTGCGACGTTCACAGTCTGTGTTTAACATCGCTTCAAGTTCATCTTTAGATAGCCTACATTCGTCCCTGGATGATTGTGCATTTCTATTTCCGCTGTAGATTCCAGCACAGATCGCAATGAACTTGTGAAAAAGAAAAAGGAAGTACAATCTCTCAGAGACACGTTGTATAGTCCGATCTTGTATCTGAACCTGCTCTAAATTTTGACTAGAAATTTCAATCAGATCGTCTCGGCGAATTTTTGAGGAAAACAAAGGAGAAGTAAGCAGAGACTGTTCAGAGACACACGTCACATAGCGCGATTTTCTATCTAATGTCGATATTCGCAGTCGGGTCTTACGATTTAAGATCATCCCAAGTTCATCTTCAGATGTCCCGTGTGCCAGTGAAACCATCATCCGTCCATCATCCGGAGATGAACTTAAGACGCTCTTAAATATATAAGATCCTACTGTGAATACCGGCCTAGGATCGTTTCGAGTTGAGCCACGCGCATTTTCCCGCTGCAAATTTCGACGCGGATCGATCGTCGAGGGCGGAAGAATGATCGAAGAAACGAGTGGGAATAATTTTCCGGTGGCGCGCACAGCCTTGTTGCGGTTTGTTTCGCGCGAGCCAAAGAGGAGCGGAATGCGAAGGTAGTGAGAGGTCGGTTGGCGTGCCCTCGCGCGACCCACGACGCGGTTTACGGGTTTGTCCCGCGCGTAAATCCGCACGCGTATTCCGCCGCACGTATGCGCGCCGCTCCCTCGGCCAGCTGGCTCCTTTGTCCGCGCGTTAGTTGAGCAAGATCCGAAGAAGCAGGTCGGGCGCGCGCGGTCGTTACGCGGGAACCCGTCAATGCCATCGGGTTGACGCACACGCGTGCGAGCCGGCTCGCTCGCCGGAGAGCCGACAGGTAAAGCGCGGGTAAGCCGCTCGCTCGCTCACGCACGCACGCTCCTCCGCTCGCGCGTAACCGGGTGACTTAACACGCAGAGCCGTCCCGGTATTACACCGGCGCCGCCGGTCTAAAGAGCCGAAAGAAAGGGAAAGTCCGTCGGAGACCGGCCGCGAACTTTAGCGCTCTCAGTCCACGGAAAGCGAGCGCGCGCCTGCTCGCGTCGCGAACCTGCTCTCTCGCGTGGCGACGACGTTCAACCCTTACCGCGGGGATACCCGGCGAGTTTTTTTCGTGCGTGCGTGCATGCGTGCGATCAGCGCCGGAATTATCACGCGCTTCTCCACGACAGCCCAGCCTCGCGAGGATGCGTCGCGGTGGGCGCACAGGATAAAGGGAGACGCCGGGAGGTCCTGGTGCAGATGCGGGCGCGCTGCTCCGAGACGACGCGGAGCGGAGCTCGGGGACCGTCGAGATAGCAGATGGTAGGTGATCGTGGTGCCCACCGTCGGCACCGATCGGCACCGAGTCCGTTTCTTATCCTCCTTCTTAGTCCTCCTCTCCTTCTTCTCCCGCTTCTTGTCATTATTCTTATCATTTTCCTCGCGTTAACGGATATCTGTCCCGCGTCGATTGCCACTCTCTCGATTGAATTCGACTCGCCTGCCGGGCTTTTCCCCTGCCCCGGTTACCCCGATTATCTTGATTACGCAACGGCGATTATACATTCGTGGTGAGGAATTCGTTAAATTGAATACCGAGCTCGTCGGCGCTCCCATCGAGTGAACTCTGGTTCTACGCGTTGGCCTCTGATCGCCGGTAATCTCCAGTTTCGCGATGGAATCGCAATTCACGCGGCCGTTCTCCCGCCGGGGGAATATGAAAATGATCTCTCAGCGTTTTCAACGGCGACATTCGCGCCTGCCGAGCTCGGATCGGTTTTAACGTCCGAGGAGCGCGCGCTGAGCTCCTACGAATGGAAACTCGGCGCGAGTAAAAGGCGACTTTTGACGCAACCGCCTCGATGCCTCGATAGTGAGAGTATCTCTGCATCCGATCGCTATCAGCATTTACAAACGCTGCATTTTGCAAACAGAAAATTACAGCCACCATCATCTCTCGATATCCCCTCGATTTTATTGCGTATGACGAATAATACCCAGCACGATGATTTATTTTTCTGTTTTAATACAGCAACAGATAACGGTAACGTATAGAAAATTAAGATTGTTTTTTTTATTTAATTACTCTCTCCCTCTCTCAGACACACACACACACACATTTTCTGTACCGCTGAATAAAAAGCATGGGGAAAATATATTATATGTCGACCGACGAAACTCGTTTGCTTACTTAATAATCAACCGGCGACCCAGCTCGCCGTGATAGTGCGTTTACGCAATTCGCGATTAAAGCTGGCTGCATAAAGCGCAGCTGCTTATCTCGTTATGCTTGATCATTGATATTACGTTACGCATTAGATTGCGTTGTATGATGACGCCGCTATTCGTGCCGCGTAGAATGCTGGTATTATACCTGTCTTTACGCAATCGTGAAAATTTCACTTTTCTCTCGATGCAATACGCCGCGAGTCGGACGGCATTCGAGCGGCCATCCTCCTCGCGATATTACATCGAGCCCGTCGTAAGAATACTGGTATAATTTTTCGCGTCGGACATTGTCTGGCTGCTCACCGTCTCGCTGCTTCCCCCTCTCTCTCTTTCTTTATTTCTTGCAGACGTTGTTTTTACCATCTCCGATTTCGCATCGCCGCGCGAGCTTGCCCAACAGGTCTGTCGCGAGATGAATCTACTCTCTTCGGTACAAGGACAATCTCCTGTAACTTCGACAGAATGTAAAAGAGAGAGAAAGAGAGACAAAGATAGATGGGGAAGCGACGAGTTACAAGATAATTCTTTCGCGAATCTTCGCGAAGTTTCATTAAATTGATCGCCGCCTCGTTTGAATAATGTTTAACGTTCCCGAGGCGTCGTTTATGTCAGCGTTTGTTACTAGCCAATTCATCTCCGGTGAGCAAGAAATCATTAACACAACGTTACCGCGGTGATACTTTTTAACTTTGTCAAATATGTCGTTGTTAATGTCGTATACAACGTCATTGTTAACAATATTTCACCCAAGCGTATCATTAAAAAGAATATATAGGTATGTCTACATTATGATTTTAACGTTTCGGAATATTATATTATCGAGTTTAAAAACGTTGATAAAATTGTCGAGTGTTGATAAAATCCACATAAACTCGACTTTTCGAGAGATTGATTTAATGCTTCTTGCTTACCGGGTCCATTCTCACACTTTATCGACATTTTTCTTTGTTGACGACGGACGATAAGTAAAGGTGAGCGAAGGAAAGGCGAAGCGGCGTAGCCCGTAAAGTGTAAGAAAGAGGGCGAGGCGGCTCCGGCATTTTGACTTTAGCAGGCCGCGCGCAGCCGTTACGCAATCATTACGCGTGAAGTGCAAGTTTGTTGCATAATTAGCGAGTGATAAATGGTGGGCTATGGATTAACGTAACGGAGTATCTGTGGCACATCATTTTCCGCTACGCTTTAGTTAGATAACGCGGCAACCGACCGATCCCGTGCGACAACGAGCGCTTTAAACTTACAAATCGCGCTCGCGCGAGTGTGAACGCACACAGTTGAATTAATCGTCGAGGTAATAGCGCGGGAAAACTACTCGAGAGAGTCAACAACGAAGGATCACATCGCAGAGAGCGATTATCACGGACTACGCTTTCCTGCTGTGAAATTTTCATGGCTGCCTTCGTACAGGAAAAAAACAGCTCATTCAGCGCTTTGTAATTATTATCTATGAATATAGCATTCTTTTGGATCTTCAATGAAAAGAAGAAAGATTTCCTTGGATTTAGTACAATTTTTCTAATCGAAACAAACTTGCCTTTTGAAGCAAACAAACGAACGTTTGTTTGATTGAACAAACAGGATTGTTTGGTTTCTCAAACAATAAGTACACTTTACATCAAATAACACGTATTTTTTGTATTTTCATCCCAACATCACACAGCGGTTGTCACAAACAATAAATTATTCGGAAGATGTAACACTGTGTTAGACAAATATTGAAGAACTTCTTCCTGTTTCGTGGAAAAATATTCAACGTACAATGAATTAAATTTTTGCATCCAAACCGAGTATTATATTTTCTCAAAATAATGCTGTTTTTCTTGTTTTCTATCAAACAACACGGTTTATTTTGGTGAAACAACAACATTTTCACTAGACAAAATGATGATACAATATGATATTAAATGATGTCATTTACATAAAACAAACCCAAGTCGAACAAACACGTACGCTAGATCTAAAGAAACCTTTTTTTTATGTAGATCCAAGAGAACCAATCGGGAGCGATAAGCACAAAGCGCTCACTGAGTTGCTCCCTCCGTCGAACAGGCAATAAGTCGAATACACGAGGCGATATCGAAGTGGAGCACGGATCATAGATCGAGCATGAATCAGAGCGCGATTATCAGTTTAACACACACACACACACATGTACAGCGCGCGTCGCCAGGCGAGGACGACGACTGAGAGAAATTCTCCTTTGTTTGCAGCGCATCGGCACGGTGCGTCGGGACGATGAAAGATCGACCATGATAGGCGAGCGCCTCACCTCCTTAAAACCGGATAGTTCGGAACATTCGCGCGAGAGCCTCGCACCGGCTCGCGTTCTCATGCTCGTGTGCTCGACCTCTTGACCGGTGGAGGATCATAATGCTAGAGCCGGTTCTGGGAACGTCGCCGATCTGGTGGCTGGTGGTGTACGCCAACATCCTGCTGCTGCTGTCGCCGTTGGTGTTGCTGATGATCGTCTTCCTGCCGAATTTCCCGATCTTGCTGCTGCGTAGGATGTGTTACATACCGATCGAGTCGATCTGACCCCGCGAAGATTCACGGTGATCCTCCGGTTACCGGACGTCGTACCTCGCGCGCTCGACGACCGGTCGAGGCGCTAAGGTGGGATCGTCGGGGATCGCGTTTCACGACGACGCGTTGACGACGATGCAACGTGCGTTCGGGGAATGTGTATGAATAATCGAAGGAACGTCAGAGCTCGAGCGATTCTACCCCTTTTTAGAGACTTTAGTCGCTTCATTTGAATTTCGAGCGAACCACGTCGCTCGACCGCGTCGTACATCCGATTGTCTCACGGCTGACGATCGAGACGTTCCGCGACGAAACTCACGATCGGATCAATCCGACAGATCGCACCGTGCGCGTCATCCGTCGGACGACGGATCTGCAATCGGATGTAGACGCAGACCGAGGCGACCGAGCGTGTCGTCGCGCCTTCGTCGAGTTCGCGAATAACGCGGGGCGCGAGCTCGCGTTGCCTCCACATATGTACGTTGCTGAAACGTTGAAATGCATTGACTTACCAAGCTACACACGATGTCACTGAATTCCATCGAAACGCTCATTTCGTCCCACCTGCCCGCCTGGTCGATCCTTGTGCGCGCATGAACGGAATTCTGGATGTTATTGCGCGACTCGCGCGGAATCCTTTCGCGATCGCCCGCATAATACGAAATTGTTTGTTAAATTTGACACACTTCGCACGTTTCAAACGGTCCGAGCAAAGTTTTGTGTTAATTTAACAGAAAAGTAGTTGAAATTTTTCAATTTGATTTCCCGATTGGAAGATCTTGAAAAGTCAAACAAATATTATGTAAGAAATTAACACAAACTTAAAGTGATCCATAACGTGTTGATCGACACTGAAATATAAAATGTGTTATTTTAACACTTGCGTTCAGTATCGATATAAAATACTGAGATAACGCCAGCACAATATGTTAAGTTTAACACATGGGTGTGTTAAAAATTTCGCGCAGAAATTTCAGCAAGAACCGATTTTGACACGAGTACAAAGGTTTTTTTTACCTTGCGACATTTCATCGCCGCCACCTTCGGCGTGCATGTTTGCACGTAACGGCGATACGCGCGAGAAATTCATCGCGCGGGGATTTGACTTTTCTGCTCGATATTCGGCCAACGGTGTCTCGAGTGGGATTAAATGTCAATCCCTCCAACTCGTTCGCGAGTGATCACCGCGAGGGACACGGAGTTGCATGGAAATAAAGGAGAAGAAAAGGAAACAGGAGAGACGCGGCGCTCACGACGGGTTTCAGTCGCGTTGACTGCGGCGCCGAGATCTCCGCGCGCGTTTTTCGACTATTCATTTCTACCTTTCGCTTACGCACGTTCGTGGCAACGCGAACGCTACGTGTCCGAGGCAAGTGCGAGCAACAATCGTCCGCAATTAGAACGTGAATTAAGAAACAATACCCAAGGTGAACCGCCCGTCGTCTGCCTGCGTGCGTGCGTATGACGAGATCGTTGCATTATCATCGGGTTATTGCTGAACTGACCTAACGGTGCACGAGCACTTACGCGGCGGGAAAGGTCGGTGATTAGTACGTGTCAACTAGTCCCGATCTCGTGGAAAGAACAATGGCTCGGATCGACCTGTCAGAAATGACTGACAGCATCTCACTATTTCTCTGTGTGCGATGAAATATAGGACTCTCATTTTTCTCCCTTTTTCTCCACTCACTCGCGCTAAACCACTAAACTCGATCGTTCGCTCGCATTTCGCTCTGCTGCATCTGACCGCGAACGATCGATCATTCCGGTCGAAGAAACGATAGCGCGATTCGCGTGACGGCGATGTTTGCGAGGCTTCCACCGAGAGTTGATTGCCCCATCGTGCCCGAATCTGGATCAGAGGGCCTATCGTGAATCTTTTCCTTCGGCGTGAACTCGTGAAAAGTGAACACGAATCGAAATTTTCGTCTTATGTCAAACTTTTGATTCCACGGCACGGTAGGGGATCAGGTAACAAAGTAGACTCGGAAACTCAATTTTAATAATATAATTTGCTTTTACTTTGACTATGACAATATCTTAAATCGACGATATCTGAATTTTGCTATTTTACCGTTAAGTAGTTAAATCTCGAGAATCAGAAGTTTAAGAGAAAAGTTAACAAGTCTTAATATCCTCAAAGGTAGGTTTTTATTAGTCTACAGGCCATCTAAGTAGACACAAATTATCCTTAAAATGTCGACTCGGGAGGATCCCCCGGCCTGAAAGCGTTTAACGTAGTATCTTCACTCTTCCCTTCTTCATCTACACTCGAGGAAAGGATTCACGATCGGGCCCCGACTCGTACCAGGATCAGGAAAACGCGAAACTTCTCCCATGACACGTTGGGACGCACACCCGCGCGTTGTGTAACCGTGCAAATTACATAAGAACGGCATTAGCTCCGTCCTCCGATGCATGCGATTTGAAGGCGCGCAATTTCCCGGGACGCCGTCATCCTCCTCCCTAAGACAACGTATCGTCGTCGGTCGCGATGCATCGCCTCGTGAAGGAGGCGTATCGCAAACCGCTGTCCTTCTACAGTTCTACCGGTGTGTGATATAGGCTGGTCCGAAGTTGGACATTATAGAGTACCGATCGGAGAGTACTTTCGCCGAGAGTCGCCCGTAGTGGGGGAGGTGGGACTTGAACCCTGGAACCCCATGGGCCATATATACTACGGGCCCATGCAGCGCTCTTGCTACTTGGTGTCAGCTTCTCGGAGATATCCCCCCCGGCTTCGGGAGACGCGCAGGAGAGAAGAAGAAGAAGACGACGACGAAGAGGAAGAAGAAGAAGGAGCTGATAACAGCGAACGGTGAGTGAGAGTACGTGTGAGACGTCGCTCTTAGACGATAGAAGAGCGTAGCTTCGATAGAACCCGAGAGGCGCCACGACAGGGTGAAGAACGTGACCGTGGGAGCCCCTCGTGGCCGGAGGTAGGAAGTGATACGTGCGAAACGACGAAGCCGTTGGCGTAGCTCGCGAATGCTGATGAGGTGATTCACCGGTGCGCGACCGCGCTCGGAAGGAGCTTAGCCGCGGGCCTCCTGGACCCTTGCATGTGCGATGAAACTCGGAAACTTCTCTCTCTCTCTCTCTCTTTCTTTCTTTCTTTCTTTTTTTTTCTCTCTCGGGACCAAACACGACGGATCGACCGGCGGATGTAATGATGAAACGGTCTTGCGCGAACAGCAGCGATCGTTCGAATCAAGAGCGCGCGCGCTCCCTCGTATTTTTCGAATTCGTTCACCAGCTGACTCCTCGCGCGCCACCGACGGTCTCTTCTCGTACGCACCGCATCAAGAAACGCAATGCGAAGACGATGCGGCGCGCTGGACAAGATCGAACGCTCGCCCCGCGACTCGCCCGGCGCCTCGCGGCCTTGTAAACGTTCCGTTGGCGTTGGTTAGCTCTGGGAGCTTGAACTTCAAACACGACTGGAATCCGCTAGGCGCGATAACTCCCGGGTACACGCCTATGAGCGCGAGCGACCCGGGGTAACATTCTGTGCACGCGTGTTTCGCGTTGTCGTTTGTATGCGCTCACACACGCAAGATACTTGCGCCACCGGCCGGTCCGCTGCCTTTCCAGAAACAATAATGGTGTCGGCTGCTTCCACACACACACACACACACACACACACATATACACGTGACAGAACACGCCCGTCTTCTCACGGCGCTGTAATTCTCCGATACACGTGCGATTCGTGTACATGTAAACGTTCGATCGTTGAGTCGCCTTTGAGTCAACAACAACTTCGCAGCCTCTCGCACGGATCGAGATCTTTATTATTTACGATAACAATAATAATAACAGTTTCATTGGCTGGACGAGAGAGAAGAAAGGAAAGTAGTAACGCACAGAAAGTCTGCGCAAAAGGATCTGGCCGATAGGCGAGGCAACAATATTCTAATGGCTTTACCTCCTTACCCGATTATTGCCACGACTATCCCTCGTCCCGATAAGTTTCTCGGAGTGAAATCTCATTCCAAATAAACGGAAAGTGACAAAGTATCATCACACGAGGCGGTGATAAAAAATCACTCGAAGTCGCAAGAGCGAATGTTTCGTTCGAGCTTAGAATATTTTCTGACTCCATACGGACGAACGTTTCGATCGATTGGAATGAATATCTTTATGTGATACATCAGACACATCGGATTCACTCTTCGATTTTCAGTGAAGACGATTCAGAATGGAGCGAATTCACACGAAATGAGCGAACGGTCACCCGAATTCTCACGACTCGCGATGGTTGCTCTGCTTCGCGAGCGATATTTCACTCAAAGAAACGTCGAGAAAGAGAGAGAGAGAGAGAGAGAGAGTAAACAACGAGATAATCGGAAACGAATGAAGTTACTAATGAGAGCGCTCCTTCCAGATGAACCTACCGATCGTCTGCGCGCTGATCAGCGTCGTGGCCGCTGCGCCGGGTCTCCTGAGGGTGCCGAAGGTGTACAACGCCGTGATCACGAGCAATCAGAATCTGTCGCCGTCGCGGGCGTTCCCGGTGATACAGCCGGTCATTCATCGCACCGCGGTCGGTTACGTGCCGCCGTTCTACTACACGCAAATAGCGCCTCACTTCGCTGGGCCGGAAGTGGTGCACTACCCTACGTCGCCGGGAGGGAAAGCCGGCGGAAGCGACCAGACGCAGGCCAGCTCGAGTTCGCGATTCGTGGAATCCACGAGTTTCGGCATCGGGAAGGATCGGGCGAACGCCGAGAAGGAGAACGTCAAGGAGAAGAACGACGAGGAACAACCGAAGGGCAATCCGCAAGACGAGTCGCAGGCGGGGAAGGTCGACGCAGCCTCGAGGAAGAATCAGCAGGTGCCGTTGAGCTTCTACCCGAATTACCATTCCCTCTATTACGAGCCGTACATCTACACGTACAACAGCTTCAACCCGCACCTCGTGCCCGGCACTTACTACGTCGACTACCAGCCGTACGGCTCCCTGGAGCCGATCCCGCCGACCACGCCGAAGAACCACGCCGAGTCCGGCCACCTGTTACCGGGCTTCCACGAGGAAAGGGCGAGCCTGCCTCCGAGGAACGAGAAGGAGAAGATACCGGACGTGCCGCCGCCGCCTCTGCCGACCTCCATTCTGCCGCGGAAGTCCTGAGGGAAGCCCGAAGATGGAGATGTCCTGAGAGTGTCGGATCGCGCGAGCGGAAACGAAGCAAACACGCGAGCGGTCGAGGACGACGACGGATCTATTGTTTTTTTTCTATTTATTTTCCGCTCGTGCGCTTTCCTTCTTATCTGGGAGACGCGGGGCTCTTCGTTGTTACGTGCTCCGGAGGATAATCGACTCTCTCCGTGCCGGTGCGATAGCGTGACAGCGGTAGTCAATCGGCTGGCATTTAGCACATTGGTCACGCCATTATATCGATGAACTTTGACCGCACGTTGCTCGAAATAATCTCCAATCTGCATGCCGCGATGCTCGATAAAGTTCAAGAGTTCCGCTCGCGCGTGTTCGCGGTCGCCCGGCTGTTATTATTCACCGGGTCGGCGGAGAACGGCTGGAATTATTTCCGCAATTCGTGCGTTTACACATTCGCTCTCTCTCTCTCCCCTTTTCTTTTCTTTTTTTTTCACGGAATTTCGAATCCTCTTCGCAATGCGTTCCACGTCTCGCGCGTCGCACGCCGCGCCCTTATTCCGTAACTTGCGGCGAGCATTTCGCTGTCGTTAACCGTATCGTTGCGCAGCTGTTTCGTGATATATATTTTGTGTCCGCGCAGAGATTTGTAACGCAAACGTTTTTACGTTCGCAAACAATAGGTGAGAAGTTACGGAAGATTACAGGGCGATGGTCTCGAGGTCTTGACGCCGCGCAAATCGCATTCGTTCATTAGTAATATCGTATGCTCGACAGCGGACCGAGCGAATTTTTATTCAAGTTACACGACGCATCGATATATACATACACACACACACACACACACACACACACACACACACACATATATATATTTATGAGATACGCAATGTTTTTATATATTAAAGATTTTCCATACACGCAGAGCGTTGCTAACATCGTCACACCTCTCCCTACTCCCCTCTCTCTTTCTCTCTCTCTCTCTCTCTCTCGATGAGAAAGCGAATTTACTTACTCACTAATCTATAGTATATATCGTGCAGTTCGGACCGAACTTTTTGATACCCCAGACCTTGATTATGTACGAGAACCCTTCATTTTCGTAGCCCTGTAGCTTGAGCTTCACGTAATCATGGCCCCGTCCGCCAGATTCGAACGTGACATTCGCCCTGGTCTGGTTATATCGCAACACCTCCACGCAAGTGATGCAAATGGGGGCTTCAATAATTACCTCGAACATCGCTTCGAGTTTGGAGGAAGCCCCCCTCAGTGCCAGGAGCAAGTTATGCTGGTAGACCACCTTCCCCTTGCACTCTCCCCAAATCTTATGGTCGGTCCCGTCGGTCTCCTGACAAGCAAATCGCACGATTGAGTACGGGAAATCCGCGACACGACGTCGCGATAAAACGTCGCGTCGCACAAACGAAAGTCAAGGTAGCGTCAAAGTTCAAGATAAGTCGCGAGATAATCTTCTCTTGATCGCCCATGTCTTTTTACTTTTCATTGCCGTCAAAGTCATCTCTCCTTCTCTCTCTCTCGTCAACTTACATTGGTCATCCGATGGTCGTCATCGTTGTCCAAGTCACTCGGGTTCTTCGACCGTTTCTTCGGCGCGACGGTGCCGGACAACGAGGCGTTCGCGCAGGGCGCGGGTGTGGTGTAGTAATACCGCACAGCCTGCCTCTCGACGCTGCTGTTGTTCCACGCGCGGGGTTCGAGGCGGCCGTCGGCTTCCGGCACGACCGGTCGCTCGTTCGGCTTGGCCGGCGGATTATTGCTGTACACCGGGTCGATCGTGATGGAAGGGTGACGGAAGGTCGCCCCGTCGACGTCCGTCAAGCTGGAATTCCTGGGGGGATAGAGTCGGAACAGGGTGACGTTGCTCGCCACCTCGTTCCGCGGCTTGTCGTCCTCGAGGCTGGAGTTCGTGCGGTTAACGCCGTATCGCTCCCTAATCTCGCGCTGACGAGCGTAGAATCTCGCCATGACGGCTCTCCGCTCGGCGTAATAAGCGCTGGCGTTCCTCCGCGAGGGATAATCCTTGTCGGCGAGACTCCTCCGAGTTCTGTCGGTGAATGCCGGCGTCTCGACCTGCCTGCGCGTTCTATACAGCGGAACCCTAACGATCTCGTCGCCGTTCGGCGAGGTCGCGTTAGCGGGACGGCCGGTCGCCAAGGAGTCGGTCGCGTTCGGCAGGGGCGTCTCCGGGAAGGCGACGTACCTCTTGTGCCTGTTCGCACGGTGCCCCGGGCTCTTCCTGGACACGAAACGCTCGTACTGCTTCGGGTAAACGACGTAGCGCTCGCTCGGGGCGAGCTCGTTCCGGCGCGTCCCGCCGAGATCGGGAATCACTCGCAAGTCTCCGCAGTGGTCTCCGGTGCAGTCGGGCGACATGAGTTCGTCGTCGAGCAATTCGTCCGTCACTCGCACGATCGTCGGCCTGGTGTGCCACAGTGGCATCTTCGCGGTGGGCCACCATCTGCGGAATCTCGCCGGTCCCGAGGAGGCCGACAGGCTCGCGACGAGGACGCACGTGGCGAGCGCGAGGACCACCCAGGATCTTCCACGGCGGACGATCATTCTCGTCGCGACCATCCGCGTGAACGTGCGCGCGTCCGAGGAAATCGACGCACTGCTGACGAGCTTGGAAATGTCTCCGCTCGCCTCCGGCCGAGCTTTATCTCCGAGCGTTCTCTCTCCCGGGGTGAGCGACCCCGGGAGCGTTTCTTTGCAACAATGACGGATTCATCGGAGGATGCGAGGAGCGCAAATCGTCGAGATGACGATATCGAGTCCACTCCAGAAATAGACGCTTCGGGCGAGACGCCAGCGAGGGAGAAACCGATCGGAATCGCGCCCGATAATTCGCGTCGGAGGAAGAAATCCTCGCGACCGGCACGCCGAAAGGTTAAATGGCGACCTCGGGTGACCTCGATCAAGCAAAAAGCTCTAAGGCGCATTGAAGTGTCAGTTTATTACAGACGATACATTCTACTTTTTTACGTACAATTCCCAAGAGCACAGCTCTTAATATTCACATCCGTATTCTTAATTAACGGGATATTATCCTTTGCCGCGACAGAGGGGACAAAAAAGTGCAAAGAAAATTAATTAAATCAGGTTCCGGTTGAACCTTGTGTTAGCAGCAGATCCAAACTCGGGCATTGACATATTAAAGTATTCAACCGTGGATGAACATCGGATTAGCGAGATATGCTAATATGATTTACAGGTTTGAATCTTTCATATAAGATTTGTTTTGATAAAGGAATAAAGAGAAATCTTGGTCGCGGGAAGTCCCTCGCGCCTCTGTCGGAGTCTGAGTCGCACGTAGGGTGACGCAACGTGAATATCAAAATATAACGAGGTATGAGGAAGCGATCGCGTCGTTCCCGCGCAATTAAGCCTCCATTCCTCCCACGTTCGCATTCATTACCGCGCGTGACCGCAGGTGAAATGATCTCATATCGCTTCCACAGTTATAGAATCTTCGTCCTGCTCGCCGCTGTTCGCCGGCTTTTTCGTCTCCGTGCCGGGCTCGACCTTCGAGTCCAACTTCTCGATACGGTCGTCGTCGATGTCCACGTCGAACGGCTCCTGGGTCGACGTCGGCGGAAGTAACGGTCTGCCGGGGAGCCCCGGATGCGACGGCGTCAACACGGGGTAAATCTGGAACAACACCGGTGTGTTGATTGAATTTCTTTTAATTAGAATATCCCGCCGAGATATTTACGAGATCGCGGACTCACCGGGTTCAACGGGATCCCAATGTTGTAGATCGGCATTCCGTAGTAGAAGCTGTAAGCGGGGATGTGCGCGACTTCCGGTTTGCCGGCGGCGAAGACAGCGGCCGGCACGTCTCCTACATTCGCGTGTACCTGAAAACACAACACACGTTGAAGGTCATCGTCATCGGGGCGGGACGTGGATGAAACGTTCTCTAGAATATCGATACATTGTACACGTAATAAGGTGAGCTTTGATACGCTGCGAGATACTGCGGCTGCGCGTTGACCTCGTCGCCCGTCGGATACAAGTAATTATCGCCGGCCGTTAAAGTCGACCATAACGGTTTCGACACCGTCGTGCCGAGCGTCGCCATCATCATCACGAAGAACACAACGATCCGATCCTGCGAAAGAAACGCAAAACACACATCGAGAAAGTGACGAGGCTTGTACAAAAGTTCAAGCAGCCGGCGTAATTCGCGGGGTTTTGCAAATTCTTTTCAATGTTCCCGCGCGTTCTCGCATCTCCCGTCTGTCTCTCGAAAGACCACCCGCTTGTACGAGAGGAAAAGAAACCACAAGGGTACCGAAAAAATTGCCGGTACCGCGTACGTTTATTCTCCTTTTGCTCGAAAGCGTGGAAACGAGAAATGCGGCGCAATGACTTCTTGAAACGACGTTGTTTGCTCCGCCGTCGATGCCCGAAGATGGGCCAGTCGGGCACGCGTTGCATGCGAATGATCGGCGAGTTGCAGCGAGCGGGAGGAAATTACCTTCCGCGAAAACAGCCGGCTACGTCAACGGTATAGAACAACGGCGGGTCTATTAATATTGGAGTGGCTTCTCGCGGGTTATAAACAGCTGCGATACATCAAGGATTCGACTATTTATACCACCGTCTCTCTTGCATTATTCGCGCAAAATAGGCGGGATGAAAGGTGAAACGGTGACTCCCGGCTGCCGATGAATGAATGAAAAATTGAATCGATCTCTAATCTTGATCCGACTCTCCGACTGGTATTCATAGTCAGATCTTAGAGGTTTTCTACAATTAGCGATCAGACTTCGACTCGTTAAGACTCCTTGTCCACAATTTTACTTTAAGACGTAAGCAGCGAGCAAATTGATCAACCACGATCGATTATTCTTCCGATAAACGACTATGGCTGGTCGATTTCCTTACTGCTTAAGTCTTATTGCTTATTATGAGACGATCCGTACGACACCTGAAGATGAACTTAAGACGACCTGGAGGTGAACTTAAATATAAAATCTGACTGTGAATACCAGTTTTTACGTCACAAATAGGGGACTTTTAGATTCTTTCTTTTTCAATTTCTTCCCCTCGATGTCCAAAAAATCCTTATTCCATCCGAGAGAAAGGGGGTTTTTTGTACACCGTAGGGAAGAAACGCGAAAGCTGATGGAAGCGCGCGTCGTCAAGTCGAGCGGAAAAGTCGGAAGGTCGGGTCGCTGAGCAGTCGACTTTGAATGTCGAGCCGTGACGGCGCTACTACGTCAGCTACAGTAAACCGAGCGATATGTACACACGATGAAACAATGAAACAATGAAGAGGAGATTCGCACGGCGAATCGCCGATCACAGACTCACCCGCATCGCTTGTCCTGGCCGCATGCTGCCGATAGTCTCAGATAGTCCCAGATCCGCGGCAACCTGAATTTCAGCCCTACCTGTGCCGCGATTTATATATTCCTGGCCGCGCGCGCGGAGAGAATCCCCACCCCGGGGAACTCGAACATCACCCGTTTTTTTCTTTTTGCTTCTACGAGCAACGTTTGCTCGTCATCTCTGTCTCTCGTCTCTCCTCTCCTCCGCTCTCCTGTCCTCTCCACGGCTCGATCCTCGAGTACGCACAAGATACGGCGCGCTACTATTCTTTTTTAATGCGTAACTCGCGGAACGCACGGAGCGATTCGCGAAACGAGAGAAGCGTTCGCGAGAGAGGCCGAGAAGACTGCCAGTACCGGCTTCAGGGTTGATCGGGACCACCACCCTCTCTCCCTCGACACCACCGGCCTGCCGCACCGCGTCGCCGACCGACGTCGATCCCGTTCACGATAATTATTTTATTTATTTGTATTTTTTACTTTGTACATTTATACGAGAACATCCCTTTAGTATTATATATAGTTTATATAATGCTATGTGTGTGTGTGTGTGTGTGTAGCCTCATCGAGGAACAGTATAGAATTTTTAAATATATCCGAATACTTAAAAAATCTTTACAATAACAGAAAATAAAATCTAATTTTTTCGTAATTATATATTATCCAGGTGACACAAATTTTGAAAAGACCACCAAGAAATAAAAGATAGATATTTTTCAGGCGTCTCTTAGAGGTTTCCGCCCATCTGTAACGGGCTCGACGACGTGACTTTGCATCTCTCTCGGAAGAGACGGCGTCGCGTCCTTTATTTGCCATTTACCACGCGACGTCCTCTGTTCAGTAATTTTGAGAAGCATCGAAATTGAATTTCGAGACTTAAAAGACACGGATTCGAAAGTCCACGCGGAGAACCGCGCTTCCAGGCGACCTGGTTTCCGGCCTCGTTCCTAAACAACGCGAGAACCCGTTCGGGGCGCCGACGCGCTTAGAGCCGGAGCTGCGAGGATCAATTTGCGTCCTTTTCTCGTTCTCTCCCCGTCCGATCGAGCGAACTCGGCGATCGGCGGTGAGAGAGACGCTCGTAAACGTAAAACGCCGTGGAGAGAGAATCGCGCCGGACGATAACCGATCGCATCTAACCCGTATGTAACCCTAAACGTTCCGGTCGCGCGGAGGACGAGTCGATCGGTCACCGGGTAGCGGGAATACCTGGTGAGAGAGCGTCAGGTGAATTCAACCTCGGCGTTGCAGCGTCGCGCGAACCGGTTAAGATCACCGATCTCGCGCTTAGATCACGGAGGAAAGGCGTGGCCGGACAGACAAAGCCGAATTTGAATTTCTAATTTGAATTCCTAATATTTGCCGCGTTGCATCACGCGCCACCCTTTGTCCCAGACTGAGGTCGCAATAGTCATTAACACGGAAGTCTCTTCTTTTTTCCTTCCTTTTTTCGACGCGACCTGACGTCCGGAACATCGTTGATCGGACGATGAGCGTACACAAGCAGTCGACAGGTTAAAGTTGCAACACTTTTTTCAATTTCGCAACGCCTCTCGTGTCCGCTAAGAGGATTTGTTTGAAATAATAGGGAACTTTTTTTATTCATCTTTATCCGTTCTACACCTTGTTAAGTTTATCCACGTTGATCTCGACACTCTGTGTATAAAGAGAGAGAGAGAGAGAGAGAGAGAGAGAGAGAGAGAATTTTTCACTCCTCTGCTGGTTTAGAGCTACTGTTCCTCTATATTTTAATGCCGTTATCAAGAAAAAATATTCTTCGTTCGAGAGATAATCGTTACTCAAAAGAAGAACAATAAAACAAGTAATTATTTTCCCTCGCGATGCAATTCTATTTTTTCTCCGTGTACACAGACGGTAGCTTGATATCGTAAATTCACCATTGCTCCTCCTTCTTTTTTCCTTCTCCTTCTTTTTTTTCTTCGTTGAACACGAGATGCATTGCGGAACTCCTTAAGAAGGGAGTTTCGTAATCGTTTTGGTGACCGAGACGATACATTTTTCTATGTCGTCGAAATGAAAATGCGTCGAGCGATGGTCGCTCCGCCGACCGGTGACAGCGTGTTCCGGAGTGAACGGATCGAGATTTAACGATGTTATCTGTTGTGTATGCTTATCCGTTCGGCAATTCTCGTCGGTCGACATAATGTGGTGCGTACGTACGATGATTACGAAACGGAGTAAAGATGCAATTTCGCATCGATCCAGCCGAACGCCGACGGTTCCTCTCGACGGTCTGGGTGAGTGAGATAGAAATTTTACACGCGCTGTGAATATCCTTCATTCGTCGTGTGTCGAATTAGGCGTCGCTTCGCTACATTTACAATTAATTTCCCAGCCTGATTTAACCTGTACGTCTCGCGAATCTTCTCAAGCTTCCGAACGTCAACGACGACGTCCGACGTGTCCATTCCGACGTGTCATTTCCCAATTCCTTTATCCTTTGCACTTATCACGTGTAATATACGTGGGGAATCTAGCGTGTTTGTTTTATACCCGAATACAAAACGCAGTTTCGCGTTCGGTTTATCAATAATCACGAAGAGATCCTCCGGTCGTCATATCGATTAAGGTTAACAACGTTACGAAGAGCCCGCATCCGGCGATCTCGCCGCGAAGGATCCTCGCAAGTCGCGCGGTAATTCGCGCGATAACGTTAACGGCATATATTTCGTTCGTGCTCACTGAATCCAGAGTTCTATTCCTTTTAGCTGAACTGGCCGCACCAGTTCGAGAGATTTGCGCACATTGAAACGTGAAAGCCGTTTCACACGCTTCAATGTGTATGTAAACTTCAATGCGCGTGTGTAAATCTTGAACTAGCGCAGCCAGTTCGACTGAAAAGATCGTACCGTGTCTACGTCTCTTTTTCTAAGTTCTGCAAGCGTACGCTGGTTCAGTGAAAAAGAACAGACCTCAGGACGATCCAAGCCTCGCGGGCTGCTCGAAGTAGATTATCGGTAACCGCGACGGACGTTAAACGTACGCGAGCAGCGATCATCGTGTCGTCGTGCGGGGATGTCGCGGAGAAATTTAACCCTAAAGATGAAGTTGAAAAATAGCAAAAAAAAAAAGCAGTTAAACAGTCCAAAGAGTGACAATTGCGCAACAATTGTGAAACGATCGGACCTCGTCCACGGCGATTGGAATTCGGGAGCTTCCGTTTCTCGCCGTCGGAATGGACTAGCCCGGCTAGTCTCGGCCGGCGGACGACGCGAGAGGAGAGGAGCGGAGAGAGGAGAGGAGAGAGCGTGGACCGGAGTTTGAACCGGGCTGCTTTCGGCAAATCGATAGGCGAGCTCGTGAGTGGTCGACTGCGTTCGTGAAACTTCGCACGTCCACTAATCAATCCGCTCTCGGGCTTATCAACAAGTGCCGCATACACCTGACCCGGCGGCCGTTCCTCCTCGGCGCCGGCTGGTGCGTTAGTCGTGGGCTTCGCCGAGCTCGTGTCACGTCGGCAGTGCTAGGATCGTTCCCGGTGTCCTTGCGCGGAATATCGCGCGCCAGGTGGGCCACGCGCAGCTCTTCGGTCGAGCGTAGCCTCCTCCGACGACCTCTTCGTGTTCCTCGCGTCTCACACCGTGCTCTCGTTTAATTGATAGCTCCGAGTCGCGCCTTCCGTCCCTTCCTCGTGATGGGAGCGGCTTCGTGCCGGCGGACGGACGCGCCGCACGTGAATGAGCACGCGCCGGCTGTGACAGCGGCCGTCGCACGCGATTTCCTCCTCGCGAGTTCGTTGTTTCCTGAAAGAGCCGATTCAACCGTTGATGCATTTTACCTCATGGCGACTTACCTCATGGTTTCCCCGGCGCCGCTGAATAATCGTGTCGAATAATCAAGCACACGTCACATAGGAGAGGCGAGTTCCTCTCTCTCTCTCTCTTTCTTTACCGCCGGTATCGATCTTCCCCCTTGGTCGTATCGAATTCAAGTCGTCCGGCGCGGATTGTGGCCCGGCTAGCCCGGCGACGCGCTGATCTACGATTGGTTGGATCCCGATGAGCGGTAATTCCGCTATTTTCGGACCGCAGCAGGACGTAAATCACAGGCTCGCTTTGACAATCGAGATCGAGTGTCCAATGAATCGAAATGTCGGCGCTTTTTCACGCTATTTCGGTTGCCGATGGTGATTCGTCGTCTTCAGTGGCGTCGGTCTCTCTTTTTCTCTCTCTCTTTCTCTCGTCGGCCTCGACGAGCGCCGCTCGTTTCCGGACGACCACCTCGATCGAAGGTGGACGCGAACTCGTCGCAAGCTTTTCCTCGTTTTTGGAGAATCCCGACACCGTTACCTCACCTCCGAATAATATTCCCGCCAGACGAGGTGTCGCAATGCACCCAACACCTGCTCCCGTCGTAACTCAACTCTCCGGCGTCGTTTCGCACTCTGGCGGAACCGATGACGCCGCGGGAGGCTGTGATAGCGTCGCGGAAGTATTTTTCAGCTCTTGGCAAGGGCGACGCGATCCTGCGATCGCGGCGCTCGGCTGTGAATAAACAGCAATTATTCTCCCGGGGTTTTCGCGATAAACGCGCGCAGATCTCAAAGGTCAGACGGGCAGCTCGCTCTGCCAGGTGATGAATCTATTTCGAAGACGCTTCTGGAAACGCCTGTCCAACTCTCAGGTCCGAATTTCAAGAATCGGAATTTCGGACGTCACCGGAAGTGTCTCCGGATTTGGAGATGTTCAAATGTTTTATCGTTGTGTCAGAAAAAGGAAAACACAAGTGTATGCGCGCGTTCTCGAAGCAAGCTTGGAAATCTCGTTGAGCTCACAGCTGAAAGTCGTGAGTGATTGGTCAGCAAATGTTCACTTCTCGTCTGCACCCGAAGTAAGAATAGGCGTTACCGAACGGCCGTTCGTACGCTGAACCGACAGATCCGTCGTTCAAAATTTGGCTCGCAATTTTGAGGAAAAATAGCATCGAAGAGGGAGAAAAGCCGTTCGGGATCACCTGTTCTCATTCCACGTGCGGGAACCTCCTTGACCAGTGTTGATATTCGCCCGATGCCCGATCGCGAATCACCGCTCGTCCTGCCTTATCGCGGGAACTACGAGGCGACGCGTCGCGTCGCGCCGGTCGATGCGCGCCAGGATGCTGGAGGGTGTTCTTCTCACGGACGGGAGAAAGGTGGCGCGGATTTCGGAAAGCGGCCGTCGCTAAAAATAGACGCGCCACCTCGTGCGTGAGCGAGTGATGCTTTTAAACATAGTTTTGGCAGGGAGAAACGTCAAAGCGCCTCGGAGTGGCGAAGCGCGAGGATCGGCTCGCGGATTTCGCGCTCGTACTCTCTCTCTCTCTCTCTCTTCCTCTCCCTCGACTCTCCAGCCTGTCGTCGTCGTTTCGTCGTCTTCTCCTCGTAGTTTCCGTCCGGAGAGCGCTTCCACGCACACCCCGTTCGTCGTCGCACCGGAAGAGAGAGACTCGCGCAGACCTCCTCCTCGTGCTCCCTCTGTCCACCCCCTCGTTTACCCTCGAAACGCGTCCGTGATATCGCGTTCCGCTTCGACAGAGGTGCCGGCGATTGAAGGAGGAACCATGAGAGGTGCGTCGGAGAAACGCGACAAGGAGAACCAACGGCCGATGGCGACGGCGCAAGCCACCGTCCCGACGGACGAAGACGCGGCCGACGTCGTCCAGCAGGAAGAGTAAAGAGCCTAGAAGACACAGAGTCGTGTTTTCGTGTGTGTATGCGTGAATGTGCGTGCCCGTCCCGTTTCCGCTCGGCCGCGCTCCGCCCGTCCGCCGGTATTTCGCGGATTTTCACCTTCGTCGCGTCGACGAGGCGCGAGGACTCGCGCGAAGAGTCGGGAGAGGACCGTCGTTGTCCTTCTCCCGCTCGTCCGAGACCGCGCGGCTTACGGCGCGGAGCACCGCTGACGGGTCGCTTTATTTATCGCAATTACCAGGAACAGATACCTCGATCGCTTTGATATCGGCTTAAGCGAATTTCGCGCAAATCACTGGTGAATCTCGCACGGAGAGATAATCCGCGCCGGCTCTCGAGCGGATTCGCCCCGCGTGTTGTACTTATTTCGTCGGATATTCTCTCTCTCTCTCTCTCTCTCTCTTTCTTTCTTTCTTTTTCTCTGACTCTCTTTCCCCTTCTTTCTTTTCGATCGAAACCGCTCAGCGCGGTGCATACCGTCGTCGTCTTGATTTGTTGCACGCTCGGGGATAACGTTTATGTCCAATTAAGCGTACCGGCCGCGGAATACCGAAGGCGCGCATTAATTGTTCGAACGAAGGTATCGAGCGTGTTAAAGAGAGAAAGAGAGAAAGAGAGACGCCGACGCTCATTAACTGCGCCGCTTTAATAAGCCGGGCAGTCGAAGAAATTTCGTAATTGTTGCCTGCGTTCTGCGAACTCCTCTCTCCGATCACTGTGTAGCTTTTCTCGTTAGCGCACCGACGCACCACGCTTTGCGCAGTGCAACTCACACGCACTCGCTNCCCCCCCCCCCCGGCGATGCGTCCGTGTTTTGAATTATTATGGCGCGTATGTACACCTAGCGAACGAACGAAGAACGTGCGATGCATTCGCGTTCTAAATGAATTTTCCTTAAAATCATCCGTGGTGAGTCACATTATGAGCAAGTCACATTATGAGCAAGTCGGCCGGAAACTGTTCTGTTTGTTTTTTTTTGTTCCGGATTTGTTACGATGCACGTATTTTCCGAAATGCGTGACAGCGAAAGCTTGCATTCGGTGTTCGTTCGTCGTTCGTTTACTAGGTGTATACTTTAAGGCCGTTTCACAATAGCGTAAACGTAGTCGTAGGATTGTGGGACTGGTAGTTGTAATGAATGTTATACAGCACTGAACTCTATACTGTACTGGAATGTTAGGTTGAGAAATACCGTGTTAAGAAATTGGGGTGAAAAATAGGTAGCTTAAGTAATGTTTCCTTCTCTGTCTGGTGATTTCTGTGATCGGTCAGAGATTTTCCTAGGATCTTTTCTAGAAACATCCGAATGCACTGATTTACTTGTGAAAGGTGATGTTCGAACCGTGTTCATAGCTTTGACAATTTTCTATGGCACAGAACTTCAACATACTTTTTCTTACCCTATTCCTTTCCAATAATATCATTATTTTATTCATCACGGAGGTTACGAATGCAAGGTACTTTGAATGAGCTGATACTTTCAACTAAAATAGCGCGACATTAGAAAAAAGGATACAGACAGTACTTCTCTCTCTCCCTCTCTTCCTCTGTTTCGCCGGTTTCCTCCTGGCATTCCAGTATAACATAGAGTTCATTGCGTGCAACAGATTAATCTTCAACGTTAACAAAGGCACATCGTGCCTTGATTACGGCAACCAATCGGAGTGCTCTGATTGGTTGGCTCTCACCGTCTTACACTGCCGTAACCACGAAAGACGAAGTTCAACCTCTCTCGCAACACTCTTTGCAACCGGTAGCAGTAGTAGTAGTTTACAACTAGCGTCTTACGACACTTTTCAACCACTTTCACGCAACTACGTTCACGCTATTGTAGAACGGCTTTTGCGCGCGCGAGTCGCAGGGAGGAATCGCAGTTTCAACACTTCCGACGGAAAACGTCTCTGTATTCTGTGTGTGAGCACACGAATAAATATCTTCTCCAGCTAAGACCGATTTTTCTTCTTATCTTCATATCCACCCGTTTTCACGACGAAGCGTCGATTCTCCTCGACATTCTCCTCGCGCGTCGTTCCCCTGTGCCGTCTTCCGAATGACGATGATTTCCCCCCTCGCTTGATTGTATCCCGCGAACGGTTGTCGCACGTCGCTTTAACGCAATTAGAAGGCCGAGAAATCGCGTCCAAGTTCGACGGAGACGGCGGAAGCCGAGGTCGCCGCGAGAGAATCCTCCCCTCGACATTGTGTCGATGAATCCGAGCTCGGCCAAATTCGAGCGTCGTCATCACCGTGGGCACGTGACATCGCCCGCTACGCAGTTGGACGCTTAATTGCTCGCCCGCTCGCTAATAAAGCCCCTCTCGGCCGCTACGTACCATCCCGCGCGACGTCGGGTTATTTCAGAGATCGTCGCTTTCCACCCTGGCTGCATTAATTAACCTTGGCTCCGCTTTTCCAATGGTCGACTTTATAATCCACGTCGACGACATTGACTAACTGCGGCCAGATGATCGCGAAAGATCGTGATTAATAGCACTTCCGACCACCTTGGCCGTCGGCCAATGGAGGATTCATTGATGCGACGAAAGAGCCCGTCGCATTGCCGGGGATCGCGCGATCACCACAATACCATTGTCCATCTCGTTATAACGAAATTGATCGCCTTGGGCGGTGTCTGTCCGTCTAACGTGGGGACTTTCGAGCGCTTTTCACGTGTCTGTCCTACAACGTACAAAGGGCGGTGTCACTTCTTACGACAGGCGCTTGTCGTCGATCAATCGTGAAGCTCGTGTCGGATTGGATGTCGAAGGCTGAGAGTCGCGAATTGAGTACTCGGGACTTTGAGTGAGCGAGCCCGAAGTCGAAATTAGTTGATCAAATAGAAGGAAAGGTCAATTACAAGGCAAATAAGAGGCTAATTGTCGATGGTGCGAGCGGCTGTATTGACGTAAACGTTTGTTTTCTCACTTCGAGGTTACAACAAGCTAAACATGTCGATGCATTGAGTTAAATTTGTCGGACGTTTTCATTGAATTGAGTTAAATTCAATTCGTCGACATTAGTTGACTCGTGAAAATTCCAATTTCTGGCCGGCACGACCCTCGACTGCCGATTCCCGACCTGACGCGGAACGACGCGATACGCTGGCTTGCAGCTTCTGCTACCCCGGTGTCTCACTCGTCATCGCAGACCCATCGGATAGTCGCGTCGCACGCTTTTGCACAGAATGCGCGTGTTTTGCACTCATCATCGCGGTAGACCGGCAGTGTGACGATCGCAGAGACGATGTAGCGCTTTTCTTAGATCGGAAGATCTCCGTGTCCGATAAGATAATAGTCGTTTTCTCGAGGCCGACTCGACCGGATAAGTAAATGACACCTTTCTTCGTTGTTCCCTCGCGGCCCGGTTTCAGTGTGATGTCAGCGGGTAACAGAAACGCGGACGAGGCAGTGAGCGACGCGCTCTTGGAGAAGCTCCGAACTCACGCAGCTAAGCCGCAAGAAGCGGGCGACGCGTTCCGGGCGGTCCTGGCCAAGATTCACGCGCGTGTCACCTCGTCAGGTACGTAATCTCGACTCCGACGAGCGGAAACGCGAAAGATTTCCATACGTGAAAAGTCTCACGTTTTCGCACGGGGGAAAAGTATTCGCCGGCACGGCGAATTTTACGCCGTCGCTGCGAAATCTGTCAGTTACTGTGTGAACGACAAAACCAATATTGATTGCCATTCGTTGAGTTAGTTTGCTGAATCGACAAATTATTTTCTTGTTACAACAGATTAGTAAATATAAGAAAACGCTATTTTATTCCAACAGCAAATTAACCTGTCCTAAGGACAAATTCGCCCGTTTACAAGATCGTTACAGCAAGACGTCTTCTTTTCTTTCTCTCTCTCTCTCTCTCTCGAATACTCGGCAAATGATCTTGCAAATATACTTTTCTCCCGATGGGGGGAAGGAGGGAAGGGGCAGGCAGTACGCGCTTGAGAGTAAATTAGTTGAGAAACACGTCCGGTCTTCTTGATTATCGGCCGCCACACTACTTACCTTCTCATTAGCGTTCGTTATCGCGTGTCGCCTTCGTTAGCGCAGCGTAAACGCGCGAGTACCGCGCTCGACTGCCGCGGCAGTAATAAAGTTCTGAACGAATCGAGGAAGATTGGACACTTCAGGGCGAATTTCGTGCCGGTGTGTTATTACTTGCCGGCGAGCACGATAGGGCACCGCCGAAACGACGAACTTGCGCGATTTATCATTCCCGTGTGATAGCCCTTCCCCTCCTCACCTCCCCCCCCCCGGCGGAACGATAACGGGGCGGAAGGCCGTCCTATATCGCATACATGGCATTATAGTACACATTTGTGTCATTGTGTCATTCTCACGACGCGTCCGCTTCGACGAAGCGAAATTCCTTCCGGGAGAGACATCGGCTGTCCGTGTCCTGTGAAATTAGCGGGGACTCCAGCGGAGACGTCCAGGACGTCACGAAAGCGACACGGGATACGCGGTAATCGCGCTCCATGTTCCGTTTGCTGCGGCTGCTTTCGGCCGACCGTATAACAAAGTTGCGCAATCCGCGTCACTTTCTAGCAAACTGGCAACTTTACGACATCGTTTGCGCCATCGTCCATCCTCGAATTCCGACTTCTCTTTCTCTCTCTCTCTCTCTCTCTCTATATATATATATATATATATGTCAGATCTTTTCGGAAATTTAATTACTGAAAGTCCGAGGAAATTCTCCCTCGCGTCACCGCTTTCCTCGATAACGAACGTTAAATCGCCGCCCACTTCCGCCTGAACTTCCGCGGCGCCGGTCGTCAGATGTCAATCCCGTCGAATTGCCGTCCCGGATTTTCGGACGGCCGGCGAACAGGTGTGCAAACAGTAGCCGGGGCCGCCGGTCAGCCGGTGATTGCGCAATGATTTTCGAGCGAGGCACTGACAGATCCGTTGGCCGCGCTCCAGCGGGCTCGGTGATTCCGAACGATACGCGCCAATTTGATAAGGCGAGAATCAACAACAATCTAACGATCCTCTTGGCCCGCGTATTCCCGCGAATCGTTCGCCGCTCACCGGCCCGCGAAACACCGAGCTATCTCCGCTGCTAATAGCGGCCCACAATTTTGCGACACAGCTGGATACGTAACGCGGACGTAGCTAAAATTTCGCTGTAGGCCACCGGCCGGCGCCGGCCGCATTTAATTATGACATCAGACGCAAGAATTAAACCGGCGATTTAGCACACGCGGATACGCGCGGTGCGCGGCGATGCGTACGCGCGGCGCGCACAGCGAGCGATAAATCATCGGCCGATCGATGCCGCGTGCGTCGCCGTGAATTTTTTATGAACATCGCGCGCACGCGGTACCAATTGGCGCGGCGTCAAGTCCGACATACGAGAATTCTCTGCCGATGCATCCGAGCGTCTCCACTCGACTTCTCTCGGTGCGTCGGGTGTCGTGGCACTCGTTGAGGCCGCGTTCCAACGTTGGCGACGATGCATCTCCTCCGGTAACTCGTGCTAACGCGAATTATGACCTGGCGAATTTGATGAAGGAAACGCGGGGGGGAGAGAGAGAGAGAGAAAGGAAGCAAACTTCTTCTCACCGAGCCGGGGCGTCTGATCGCCGTTGAAACGTGTGTTTGCAGACCGGCGGGTGCGCGAGCGCGCGCTGGAGAAGCTCTGGCAGAAGAATTCCGGCGCGATGGAGTCCTTCATAGTGGCGCTGGAGGTGAATAATTTTTAATTAAAGTAACCCCCCNCCCCCCCCGGGGTGAGTCTTCGTTACATCATTTCATCGCCCGTTATTTGTAACGTGTGCCTTATCGGCCGAGCAAAAGCTACGAGCATTTCGCGTGTTAACAACCGCGGCTGATCAATACGCTGGAATACGCGTGTCGGTGTGTGTGTGGGTGCAAAAGAGAGAATGAGAATTACAAACGTTTACGGTCGCTCGTATCGAGACATACACGTGCATGCACACAGTGTGGGGGTAATTAAGGAGTTTGGATAACCGTGCGCGGTAATCGGGTATTATCTGCGAAACCGCCTGGCGGTGTCATGCGACACGTTCCGCGTTGTCTGCACGCTCGGAAAAGCTCGCGCGAAGCGGCTCGCTCGTAAAACTGGATACTCTCGAGCGACTGCGAGTGTGTGTGTGTGTGCAACGCGCAACGTAGATTAGAGTAATCGCGCGTTCACGTGACTCTGTAATTACTTTTGCCGCGTTATCTCTCAGTATGAGCGGAACGACGCCTCGGGCTTCGTTTATACTATTAAACAGTCGGAAGCGGGGAGAAACGCGTCCTCTCTTTATCTCCGTATCTAATCGCGATCTAACCGCGTATCACAAAGGGGCGAATGTGCGATTAAGAGAATGCCGGACGCACTTTTCAGAACTGCAAGGATCACGTCGCCGACTGCAGCATCGCCGGCATATTACACGAATGCATATCGCCCCGGGCGAGCAGGAGCAAGTCCAAGAAGAAGGGGAGCAAGAACAAAAGCGCCACAAGTATAACAAGCAATTGCTGCTCGTCGAGTCGGGAAAAATGACTGGGGAAATCGTTTTCTTGAAATGAAAGCAAAAAAAAACACAGCGAAAAAGAAATAAATGTATCGGGGAGTAACGTGCTTTTCTCTTCCCTTTTGACAGGAACCAGTAGCCGAATGGCGGTCATTCAACTGGTCAACTTGGGCATCACGCAAGTCCTGGTGAAACTTTTAATAAACCTGCAGCACGCAGACACCATCACGAACGAAATGCTCACTCAAGACATCCTCTGTATTCTGGGCCAGGTGATTGCCGTCAGTCTTAAGATTCACGCGCGTCTCTTTAGCGTGCAAACATCTGATGCATCCACGATGCGCGAGATACTGAGGTAAAATTTCTCACGAGACACGCGCGGGATATGCCTGCTGCTCGCAGGTGGCGCAGAGGGACCAGAAGTTCGCGTCGAAGATGAAATTGCTCAACTCCGTCAAAGTGTTCCACGCGCTGCTGAGACAGCACTACAACAACAACAAGATATTACTGCCGTTGCTGTTGATCATCAAGACTCTCGCGAAGAACCGTAAGCGAATTCGTAATCGATCGTTTCCCACATCCGCCCGTAATACACTCGGTACAAGCTCGATCGTCTCTCCGACAGCTTTTTCCCTGCAAACCCTGGTGAGGGACGGCATCACCGGCACCTTGGAGAAAACGTTCATCAGCGTCGGTTACGCGCCGCACTTGAAACTGAGAACCCTTATTGAATGCCTCAAGCACTTCACGACTAATAGTACGTACCGTTTGACGCATATATATTTATATATCCCCGTTTTCCCCTCAATCAGCCTGATCATTTTCTTCCTTGTCTTTTCTTCCTTCCTTGCGCGACTCACCGCTACTAGCCATGACGCTTCGCTTTCAGAGCTCTGCTGCAACAAGCTCGTCAAAGTGGGAATAGTGCACCTGCTGATGCGCATCTTCGAGAGGTGGGAGCGATTCGACGGTCCGATGCGGCTGAAGATTTGCAATTACGCCCTGAACACTCTTCAGCATCTCTGCGTGATAAGTAAGTCCGATCCGAGCGTCGTGGGCCCCGCGGAGAATGTCCTAATAACTCGGCGGAGTGCGGGAGCGCATGTCGCGCGGCTCGCTCGTTGTTCGTTTTTCGTCCTCCGAACTCTTGAAAGTCACCGGCGAGTCATGCGTGTCCTCTCTTCTTTGTCCGCTCTCGCTCTAGAAGCCGGCAGGAAGGCTATCAAGTCGAACAACGGCCTACAGCTACTGTACCGGTTCTGCACGAACTGTCCGGAGGACAAAGCCTACGACTGCCTGCTGTCTCGTATTTGCGGTATAATCAATCAGTGTCTGGAAAAGAAGGAATTACCGGTGCCCGAAATGTCGCCCGCGAGGTGAATGAAACGTTCGAGGTCGTTCCGACCGGTCCGTCGAATCCCGCCGTGTGTGCGACAGTCGCGATACGCTTATTATTATACGGAGTGCTATTGAAAGCTGGCTCGAAGCTGGACAGGCTTGCAATACTCGCTGAATTGAATAAACAATGCCAAGTCAGCACAGGCCCACAGATTGATTTACCTTCCTGCGTGCCGATGATGTAATTTTTCTCAAGGGTGGACACGCGAAGTGTTTTTCAACATGGAAAATTTATACTTTTCACGAGTTAAAGCCAGTTCACGTTAAAGTAGGGGATTCGTGAGTTCTTCGGGAAAAGTGTGAATTTTCCGATTTGAAAACATTTCACTTTTCACGATTCCATCCCAGGGAAAAAGTTACGTGATCGATACCGGGTGATCGAACAACGATTTTCCGTAGTGCGAAAACAGAGGGTTTTCTTTCCACTGCGTGCGGGATTATTTTGTGATTTTGATCGTTTTGTGATTTTGAGCCGTTGACCCAAAGGCATTTTGCGCGTCGTCTTTCAGAATGTTTTTCATTTTATATTGCCTGAGTACCGTTTCTTTCAATTTAGTGGATGCTGGGAGCTTGCGAAGCTTCGAACTGCCTCTCCCGATTACATCCTGCATGTCCTAACGAGCACAAAGTAATTTCCCAGCATTACGCAAGTGCATAAATCAATATTACTGTGCTGTGCATCCATTCTCGATAACGTAATGCGTAACGCGTATGCAGCGATATAACATATATTACGATACTATTAATCCGGATAATCGTTTTCTCGTCGAGTAGGAAGTTTTGACATTTTTACACTCAAGCACGTCTCGTTCTGCCCCCCCCTCCCCCGACTAATTATATCAATATAAATTATTTCAATCCTGAAATTAATCGAGCCGTGTGCGTGTGTGTCGCCCTGAGCGTACTTTGTGTTCCGCTTGTGCCTCTCTCGTGTTCTCGTGTCTCAGTGATACGTGTATTTCGCGTCTAGACAAAGTAACTAACGGTAGAGGCTCTCGTTACGCAACGTAATTGCACTTAGTTGGGAGACTAAGCAACGCGCTGTGTAATTGGCATGGCGTGCCTGTTGTGTGCGTCTTTCTCACACTGACGTTCACGCGCTAAATTCCCGACCGATCTTTTTTCTGCATGCAGATTCGTTCTGCCCGAAGCGAATGTCAGGGCGAACAGCGCTGAAAGCGGTAGCGACATCGACAGCCAGGTGTGTACCTTTTCTCACGGCACTTTCGGACCGACGTAGCGCTCTCGCGGGAGACCGCTCAAACGTGGATTGAAGATTGGAATTGGAAGAATCGGGACGAAAGAGAGAGAGAGAGAGAGACGAGATCAATTAGTTGATTCGTTAGATTCGAATCTTTAACTCGTAATTGTCGATCTCCGGTAGTCTCTTTAGCCTGATCTTCGGTATAAATGGATAGAAAATGATCATTGAATTAACCAGAATGTGGACAGCCGAATGCGTTTCGATTGAAGAAAACGGGATTTCCGATCATAAGAAGCATAGTAATAAAATTGAGATCTTAATTCAATAACATATAACCTAATTTTACGAAGGTAAAAAACACAGCAGGTACACACAAATCTCCAATTGCGTATTCAAGCAGTATTTATATCTTGAAAGCGTAATAAGGGTTGTTATAATCCAAAATTCTGTTTCCTCTAATCGAAATGCGTTTGGTTACGCGATTTCTGATTAGTCCAACTATAATTTTCTATTTCAGTGTACCTAATTCAACCTTCGATACTTAGTCGAGCTTGATGCGCAGCACGCTCGTCGACGAAGCATGGCCCTTAACGCGATTTTCGCTTTGCATACGAGGTGTCGCGGCATTTTCGCGAGTCATCCGAAACGTCACGGCGCGACGGTACCGTTGAGTTCTCTCGTGACTCGAATATCTATTTCCGCATAGGCGAACAGCATGGCGTCGGCCGGTAGGCTCTACAGCGATTTGGACTCCGGCGACGATGAGGAGGAGGAAGAGGGGAGCCACGACTCCAGAAACGCGATCGACAACGCGATCTACATGAGCGACGAGGTGGACGAGGGCAAATTCTTCGCCGGGGTCTTCACCTCGCAGAGGTCCGAGGAGGATCTCGTTGGGTACGCGGAGACTCATTTTGCCCCGCTTTCATGCGTGTGTTGCGTAATTATTATTATGTGAAAGATATTTTCGCAGAAGAATGACCTTTCACTCGAAGAAAGAAACATCGACGAATTACTCGGCGATCTTAATCGATTTCTCCTCGGTTTCTGACAAATACCGCTTGAATACATATTTGCAAATTTTTACGCACTCGTACATTTTCATCTTCATAAGTTCTTTCGCCAGGTGACACGTCGCTTGAATTAAAATCCCAGTTTTCCCGCCCTCCGCATCAGGTATCACACGTTCTTCCGAGAGCTGGGCGGTCTGCGATCGCAGCTGCGCCTCGCCGGGTCGTCCGCCGTCAAGTTGACCGAGCTCGGCTTCATCGAGGACGAGCAAGCGGACTCGCAGTCTGTGAAGACGGGAAAGTCGAGGACGCCTCCTAAGGACTTGACGAGAGTGAACGGCACGACGAAGCAGCAACTCGTGACGAACGACAGGCACCGATTGAAGATCCTCGAGGACGCGTCGGGGGAGCTAACGGACCAGGAGGCGTATTGCGCGGTGGCGAGCCGGGTGAGGAGCGTCATCGGCTTCGTGAAGGTCGCCTATCCGGACTGGACCGGCGGCGACGGCTGCGGGAAAGCCGAGCCGCTCAACACCAAGGACCGCAAGGTGTGCCGGGCGAAATTGCTCACCTGCGTCGAGCGTGGCTTCCATTCCTCCGCCGTCCAGGAAGTCGTTTACGATCTCGACGCTCTCGTGGGTCCCGCCTGCCGGCAGGGACGGGACGCGCGGCTTCTAGACAACTGCGACGAGAAGAGGATCGGCAAGCGCGTGCTGGACACGAAGCAGTTGCAATTCGAGTCCAGATTCGAAAGCGGAAATCTCAGGAAAGCTATTCAGGTACGGCCGCACACCGTCACACTCGCGACCCTTTATGTAATCGATTATGCTCGCGTTACGTAAGGCGTGCTGCCGCGACGACATGCAATGCGGGAGTTTCTATCGGGCTCCTTCAGCGTGCACGCGCGTGCCATGCGTCCGTGTGCGTTTAGAGGAATGCCCTTTCGGCTCAGATGACGACACAACGGTCGAATGAGCGCTCGCTGAATAATATATTCTTCTGCATTCAAATAGAAGAAATAATCACTGATCGCTCGGTAATATCGGAACGTTCTTCGAAATCAAAAATTATACTTCAATTAGGAGAAGCGATCGCTGATCACCCATTGCGATATCCTTCTAAATCTGTCATGTGGATCCAAACATGTACTTCGATCGGAAGATGCACAATCGCCCCGGTAGCTCACTGAGCGCATCGCTTCGCTGAATGAAGTCCCTTCGCCCGAAATCTCGTCATTACTCTCCGTCATGGTCCGCTTCCCACGCAGATAGGCCTGCGGGAGTACGACCTGATCCTGACGCCGGACGTCAACAGCGGCTCGCGGCATCAGTGGTTCTACTTCGAGGTCTCCAACATGGAGGCGAACGCGCCGTACACGTTCAACATCGTCAACTGCGAGAAGGCGAACTCGCAGTTCAACTTCGGCATGAAGCCGATACTGTTCAGCGTGACGGAGGCGAAGTACGGCCGGCCGGGCTGGGTGAGGACCGGCGTCGACATCTGTTACTACCGGAACTGTTACCAGCGACCCGCCCGAGGCAAGACGTACCTGACGACGTCCTTCACGGTTACGTTTCCGCACGCCCACGACGTCTGTTACCTGGCCTACCACTTCCCCTACACGTACAGCCAGCTGATGACCGACATCTGGAAGTGGAGGAAGAAATGCGCGAACGCGAGCGTTTACTTCCGCGCGGAGACGCTCTGCGAGACTCTCAACGGCAATGAGAATCCGGTGCTGACCATCACGTCGCCGGACTCCAGGGGCAACCCCATACATGTGAGAATCGCGTTCTCCCCGGGCTGCGCGAAAATCTTTACCCGCTGATAAACGGTGTCTTCGATAAGGCGAAATCTCCATCTTTCAGGCTCGCAAAGTGATCTTCTTGACGTCCAGAGTGCACCCGGGCGAAAGCAACGCCTCCTGGGTGATGCATGGGACGCTGAAGGCCCTCTTGAACGACAACCAGTACGCCTGCAGTCTACGTGACGATTATGTGTTCAAAATAGTTCCTATGCTAAATATAGAAGGCGTCGTGAACGGCTGGTGAGTTGACAGTTTAGCATATTTTAGCGCTTTTACTGAACGAGATTCTCCGCGTGGATCACTTGCAAACGCTGCATTCGACTTTTTCGCCGTGTCCGAGGCGCGAGGACGAAGCGCTTACGTGAACGCTGAAAGGCCAATGACAGACGCGTCGATACCATAAGACTGTGGGTCGTATCTTTATTAAAGTTCAGTTATACAAGTCGCACACTCGCGCCGTTGTACGTATAATTAATTAATGTGTTTTGCGTTTGTGTGTGTGCGCGTGTATGTGTGTAGAGATGGGGGTGGGAATGGGGGTGACTTAACATAGCAGCTAGAGCGACATTTCACATAGACGAAGCTACAAAAAAAAAAAAAACATACGCCGATCGTCATACGTCTGGATGACCGGGACGTTCTCCGCGAGAGACCGGGGCGAGGAGCTCGCGAGTCGCGGCCCTCCCTCGACAGCTGACGCGTCTCAGCACGCCCTGGAACGTGGTGGTCCGTTCGGCTGCCTAACGTCTCGTCTTGCAGACGTATGGGCCTCGATATTACCTATGATGATTATTTCCCTTACGCGCACGAGGATACCGAAGACGCTGGTGGACTTTCGCGTGCCTTCTACACCGATGCGCGGATACATGGATGAGCTCTCTCTCTCTCTCTCTCTCTTCACGTTTCGATTTTCTCACCTCTTCGCTCGCTGAGACCGAGTCACGCGCGCGATCGATCGATCGGAGAAACCAGCGGAATCGAAGCGAAGAGCGAGAGAGAGAGAGAGAGAGAGAGTGGGGAAGGAGCGGGAAGACGATCTTTCAGAGAGAGAACGATGGTCCGCCAGCGCGATCGACGATGATCTGACGAGGAGAGATGAGAATTGTCGAGTGGGAATGCCCTTGCGAAAATGTACAGCTTGTCGAGTAACGTCGGCAGGAGGGTAACCGCTACCTCTGTCTTTCTTCCAATTGAACACCTCGCGACCCCTTCTCGACTCGTCTTGGACGATATCGTTTTCCTCCAGTATTCTCCTTTTCTCCTTCTTCATCTTCCTTCCTTCCTTCCGCCGCGACCCGGTTTCGATGTGATTCCGATTTTCGGCCGAAACAATCTCCTCTGCCTGCCGCCGGCCGAGAAAGCTGCATGTGTCGACGTGCGACCCCCCTGATCCCGAAAGTGTATCGAGCGCCGATACGTCTTAAGTTACGGAGCTTAAACGGCGAGCGACGACGGAGGGGGGGCTACTTGTCTGACCCGCGCGACGGCTCGCTCGTGTTACACAGGAGGGGAGGGGTATACGCGAAACGCACTCGTGCATAAACGTACACATACACATATATATATATATATATATATA